AACTGGGGTGGGGGTGGGATGGGGTGGGATGGAGGGGCACCTGGCTGGTTAAGTTAGTAGAGCATGTGATTCTTGATCTCGGGGTCATGAGTTCAAGCCTCACATTGGGTATAGAGCTTACTTTAAAAAAAGGGGAAGGGGGGGCAGACCCAACTCATTGACCATTGTCTATATGTTGAAAAGGGACAGATACAATATTACTCATTGGGTCATAGATGTCTAATTTTGATTTTTTTTTAAGATTTTATTTATTTATTTGATAGTAAGAGAGTACAAGCAGGGGGTAGTGGCAGAGCAAGAGGGAGAAGCAGGCTCCCTCCCCGCTGAGCAGGGAGCCCAACGCAGGGCTCCATCCTGGGACCCTGGGATCACGACCTGAGACAAAGGCAGAAGCTTAACTGACTAAGCCACCCAGGCGCCCTAATTCTGATTTCTTATCTCCCTTATATACTACTTTCGTTTTGATGTTTTTAAAAACATGTCTGAGTTCTGTGAACTTCACAGCTTGCTAGTTTGCTCTTTGCTAGTGTGTGTGTGTGTGTGTGTATGTGATTAATTGGTCTTCGTTTTCTTTTGGTGTCTTTATTATTTACAAACTTTTTTTTTTTTTTTAAGATTTTATTTATTTGTTAAGGGGAGAGAGAGAGAGCACAGCAGGGGGAGTGGCAGGCAGAGCAGGCAGAGGGAGAAGCAGGCTCCCCATCGAGCAAGGAGCTGATGTGGAACTCAATCCCAGGATCCTGGGATCACAGACCCGAGCTGAAGGCCGCCACTTAACTGACTGAGCCACCCAGGTGTCCCTACAAACTTATTTTTATGCAAAAGCGGATAGCCAAATCTCTCTGACAAAGATTGTGAGACAACCAAAAAGATCAGAAATATGAATCTGAAAAAAAAAATGAAGACTATATAAAGTGGAGTGTTCTTGACTATCGTTTTGTCTGCACCTCTCTCCTCTGAGAGTTTTTTTTTTTGGTCTAGATTCCCTATGTTGAAAACTCCTACCATAGTCCCCTGCCCTGGCTTAAAGCAAGGGTGGAGGGAGCATTTATTTCTTGGAGTATCTCTAAATCCAGGAATGGTGGTGGTCCTTGGAAGTGTTGTGCAATAACTGAAAACACTTAAGAACGCTTTGTTCCTCATTTTTAATCCCAAATTATTGCTGGATTAGGTCTGTTTTAACATGTTAAACCTTTACACTGCCGAATTTGGACAACCAGACCTGTCTGTTCCTCCAAACATGCAGTAGAGAGGGGCATAGATTTACTCTTTGTAGGAAGTGAGAGTCTGGGGATGGGTCCTCAAAAGTCTGTTTTGCTAATCCAAGAAATTTATGTCTAAATGCCACAAGATTGTCTAAATGGACAAGTGCAACTACATGTTACTGCTAAAAACCAAAGCTTCATGTGGAACTGTGAATTTACATAGACCAGAATGAGAATAAGAAAGAATGTATGTAGTTGTTTTTTGGACCCTTTCCCATTTGTTCATGATCCGAAGGAAACCAGTCCGGACCTTCAGTGGACATGAGTGATCTCTTCATTGTGTTATATTAATTTGATAGTTTCATTATTTGGTCTTTCCTTTCTTTCACCTATTGTTAACCCTCTCCACCTTCTGCTTTTTTCTTCCTGAAAAAAATACAATAAATGAATAAGGATTTTCAAACACTTAAACTAACAACAAAAGATGGCAACAAAAAAATTTAACCATTGGAATAGTTGGCAGGATTCAGTTCTGTGTTGTACATTCTATTAGTATTGTCTTAGTTCATTTTTTCCTTTCTGTAAAAATAGGATTTTTTTAAAGATTTTTTTTTAAGATTTTATTTATTTATTTGACAGAGAGAGAATGAGAGAGAGCGAGCACGAGAGGGAAGAGGGTCAGAGGGAGAAGCAGACTCCCTGCTGAGCAGGGAGCCCGATGTGGGACTCGATCCCGGGACTCCAGGATCATGACCTGAGCCGAAGGCAGTTGCTTAACCAACTGAGCCACCCAGGCGCCCCCTTTCTGTAAAAATAGGATTAAGGAGTGCCTGGCTGAATTAGTCAGAAGAGCATGTAACTCTTGATCTTGGGGTCTTGAGTGTGAACCCCACAATGGGTGTAAAGATTATTTTTTAAAAAATAACTTAAAAATAAGGTTAATAATACTTACCTTGCAGACTTGTCTACAGTATGCTACATGGTATAATTCCTGTGTAAAATTATTTTGGTACAAATGCTAGACAGTTTAAACTATGTATGACATTACTTCCAGACCTTTTCCAGTCATGATACATAGATAAAATTTATTGTATTTGTAGATCACAGTGTAGTAAACTGAAGATGCTTTGACCAGAAGTTGTTGCAGAGGCTCAGGTTATCCCAGGTCCCACCTACCCAGCTGCCTACAGGAACAAATAATTTACCTGTAACCCATCCACAACATACTGGTTGGGAAAGCTTATAAATACAGTCTTGTATATGAATTACTTAGGAGTCTTTGTTAGAGAAAAAAATCTCAATTCTGCTTTGTGTTGTATTGGCCTTGTTATTAGACAGACTCTTAACCACTTGGTGATAAAGATGGCCACTTGCTCTAGACCTTCCTTTGTTATCCTCACAGTTGTCAATTCAATCAATAATAAAAAATCATTGCCTTTCCGCTATTAGATTAGAATATCATAGTTCCTACCAGGGTTCTGATTAGCCCATCTTGGGTTACATGCATACCCCTAAAACCAACATCATGACTAGATGGTAGAATCCTTTGGCCAGCACTTGTATATCTGCCACTGTGGTTAGGTAGGTTGTGTGTATGAAGGTGTGGCATGGTAGTAGGGGAAGATTAACGCCACCAGAACCAACAGAATGGGTTCCCATACAAAAAAAAGAAAAAGAAAAAAAGATCCTGCTGTCCAGAGGAAGGGAAGAAGTGAAAAGGTACAGGGTTAACTATTTTCACAGTCTACTGTAGTACCTGACACTCCTTCTGAAAGCATCATGGACTTCAGTGTAGAAGTACATGGTATTAGAAGTGAGTTCTTGATGAGCACTGGGTATTATATGCAACTGATGAATTATTGAACTCTCCATCTGAAACTAATGTACTATATGTTGGTTAATTAAATATAAATTAGAAAAAAATGAGTTATTTTGATAGAAATGGATAAATCATTTTATTTATTTTTTTAAAGACTATTTATTTGACAGAGTGAGAGAGCACAAGCAGGGGGAGCAACAGAGGGAGAGGGAGAAGCAGGCTCCCCGCTGAGCAGGGAGCCTGATGCGGGGCTAGATCCCAGGACCCTGGGACCATGACCTGAACCGAAGGCAGATGCCCATCCATCCGAGCCACCCAGGCACCTCGATAGTTCACCATTTTAAAAAAATTGTATTTCCTAATATTTTAACAGTTGTCCAGTATGGTAGCCACTAACTAACTACATATGGCTATTTAAAAATTAAAATTAAATGTGAAAATTCAGTTCTTCAGTTGCACAAGCTACCTTTCAGAGTGCTCACTGGCTACATGTGGCTGGTGGTTATCATATTGGATAATACAGATTATACATTTACATAATCACAGAATGTTGTATGCAGTGCTGATCTAGACCAATGAAGTTCCCTCCCCCCACCCCTTTATACCCCACTTTGTCCTCTCTTGCTTATCTTTCTAACAGGTTTTGTATGTTTTCTTCTGTGGCAGTGCTTTGGAATTTTCTACACACATTTTTTTTTTTGCTTCTAGGATGTTATGTCAGTCTGTTTCCCATCATTCGTAGTGATGAATTTCTTTGAATCTTTATTTTATAATGTAATTACTGAAGAAATCGAGGAGGGTCTTGGTGGGGAAGGGCAAGGAGTTATTCTTAACCTAAGAGAAAGGGGTGTGTGTGTGTGTGTGATAAATGGATTTTAACTAGATGGGAAAGTTGTCTGTGAAAAGTGCCTTTGTCATAATCTTGTATAATCATATAACAGAAACTCTCTACCCTTTTTAGGAAAAGTTTTCATCAAATCAAACATCTAATTGCCTGGCTCCCTCCCTTTATTTTTTGCTTGGGGCAGGAGCAAAAGGCTATTTTGCAACAACACAATCTATAACCTCGCACCAATGAGAAAAGGTAGAGAAATTTAATTTTTCTCCCCATTTTTTCCTTACATACATGCACAGAGCTTTTTTTGGGGGGAAAAGAAGCTTGGTAATAATTTGAAACCTTTTTGGAACCTGTTCTGGTTATCTTTCTAACAGAAAAATGTGTGATTAAGGTGTCTTTTTTATCTGTGGACAAAAATTGCCTGTTTAGATCTCCCACAATTCTTACAAACCTTGGGAGAGCAGGGATGGCATCTAACTTGCTCACTGTTGTACATCCAACATCACAGTTGGTGCCTCTGGCACACACTAAGTACTTGATAAATACTTTTGAATAAAGATTTCCATTATTCAGAGACTAGTTCTTCCATGTATGGGCTATTGTTTTCCTCCATTCTCCTGCTTTTAAGTGTCTTTCTTCCCTTAGAAGTATGGAAAATAAATACATTTGTATATAATGTCATTTTTCAGATCCTCTTAAGCAGCCATGATAAGAAGTGGATGTGTGGAACAGGATCATTTCTACCCTCTCCCCAAAAAGCTAATTTTTTTTTTTTTTGCTTTTTCCTATTGTACTTAATTTGTAGTTTTCAAAATTTGTTGTTTGAAAAGCTTTCAGGCTTCCACTTTCTGCAGATTGGAACATGTAGCCATTTGAGACCATGCCTTGTACAGAGTTTATTCTTTGCCCTGCAACATGACCTTTATGCTCGGCTCACAGACTTCCTTTACTTTGTCTATTTAGCAACTTTATTCTGTATTCCAGCCTAACCAGCTGAGCATTGAAAATAAAATTTTATATTTCTATTCCCCTAAGGTCTCACATATTATATATAAAAACACAGTATTTTTGGATCCTGTAAATATGAATATTCGGAGCTGACCCTTTTCCCTCCCGCCCTCTCCCCCCGCCCTTCTAGGACTATCCTTTTAAGTGTAATCTCATTGCTCAATGAGCCCAACACCTTCTCCCCAGCCAATGTGGATGCTTCGGTTATGTTCAGGAAATGGAGGGACAGTAAAGGAAAAGACAAAGAATATGCTGAAATCATTAGGTAAGGTGTTTTGTTACCTTCTGTTTGGTTATACTTCAAGTCTTCATACAGAACTAGAGTATATCCTAGAACCATGGCTTTAAATCAGACTTAAAATATCCACTCCATTTCTCTCAGTTAGATTGTTTGGGAAGAGATTTCTGCCTGAGCCTAATGAGTTTGTATGGCTCTTGAGAGCGCGCATACTAGAACATAATGCTGTAGCAGATCGTACTTCCTGGGAACCAGAACTTCCAGGTTCTGAACCAGTGACATTCTCAGACTCTGCCTCCGAATCATTTTAGGGACACTGTTCAGGATTTTCAGTATGTCCTTTAAGTATAGCAAACACCCAGAGTATTCTAGACATTCTAGATATTTTTGTTTTCAAAAATTTTAATGAAGCCATATATAGTTTATTGGGGCTTTTGACCATAGCAGCAAGTATCTTCTAGGTATTATTATCAGCAACACTAGTATATGGTTTAACAGAGCTGTAGAAGCTTCCTCTCATTGGGAGACTTGGAATCTACCCCTAGTTCTGTCTCCCTTCATACGACCTTTTATCAGTTAATTTTTTGGGTCTTTGTGGTTTTTCCATCTGTATAAATGGGGGAAAAGGTAGCAGGTATTGGGGCTGAACCATTCGTCTCTCGATCATACCCTGAGTAGGACTTAAGGTTTTATTTAAGATTTTCTTATTTAAGATTTTATTTATTTATTTAGACAGACACACAGCAAGAGAGGGAACACAAGCAGGGGTAATGGGAGAGGGAGAGGGAGAGGGAGAAGCAGGCCCCCACGGAGCAGGGAGCCTGATGGCGGGGCTCAATCTCAGGGTCCTGGGATCATGACCTGAGCCGAAGGCAGACGCTTAACGACTGAGCCACCCAGGAAGGACTTAAGGTTTTCTTAACAGTACTCAAGAATTGATACTTGAATTGCAATAAATTCATTTCCTCTTATGTCCTTAAAATAGAGCCCAAGGACAGTTCCAGCACATTCTGCACGTGGTTTAGTAAGCACTACAATTTATACAAATAGTCCCTCTTTATAACTCTAGTCAGCACGCCATGGGATGTACAAAAAAAGGGAAAACTGCAAAGAAATAAAGCTGAGTAATATATAGATCAGCAGTTTTCAACGTTTTCTGCCCACTAGAATCACCTTTAGACTCCCTTCCATAATCCGTATTTAGTGAGATTGTAAGGGTAAAATCTGGGCATCTGTATTTCGTTTTTACCAGCCACCTAGGTGACTAATGTATACCAAAGACTGAAGATAATTAGTATAAATAAATAATAAGGACCTAGAGATTTAGAGGAGCTGGAGTAGGTTGAAGATTGAAAGATGGGAGTGCTTCATAAAATAGGATTAGAGCTTGAGCCTGATGTTCAAGGAAGGGTAGTATTTAATAAGTGAAGAGTTAATATCCCTCAGGCATTTGTATTCTTTCTATTTCTTAATTTAAGGGTTTATCTTATTCTTTAATTCTTTCCAAATTTATTATGCACCAGCTTCATGTCAGGTACTCGTTAGGTCATGAAGGCAGTCTTTCTCCTTGAGTTCACACTTTACTTAGCAAGAATTTGTAAACAAATGACCCTATAATAAGATGAGCGCATAAACAAGATACAGTGGAAGGAATATATAGTGCTGTGGAGTTCTAGGAGAGATAATGTCTCATAACCAGGACTTTTTCAAGTAGTAAGGGAACGAAAAAGCCCCTTCAGGGAGCAAACAGGCTTGCTAAAACACAGGTAGCTAACCGCATGGCATGATCAGAGAAATGTAAGCAGCTTTATGTTGCTTGAATATAAAGTCTCATTTTGCAAGTAATGGGAAATTCAGAGAGCCATCAGATGTTTTGTGTGTTTGAGAGGCATCAGATCTTAAAAGACATTTGAAGTGAAAATAAGGCTTTCGTTCTTAGAAGTGATGGGGTATCAAAGATTTTAGGAAGGGAAGGGAAAAATCATATTTGAGTTCTGAAAGAATCCTAGTTGAGACTGAGATAGGGAGGAGAAGCCAAGATGAAGACTAAACAGAGGCAGTGGCAGTGAGAAAACAAATTTGAAAATAGGGCTTTGGCATGAGGTTTAGAATTTTAGGAGGTAATGCTCTTAGAAGAAAAATGGGAGAAGGTAGCCATAGAGGTCAAAAATGACAATTGCAGACTTGCTGAGTTAGGGTCCCTATGGAACACGAGGGTGGAGACATCCCAAAGGCTTATTGAACTATGTAGGGCTCAGAAGATAAGAGGCTGGAGCCTGATGGTTTGAGAGCTGTCAGCATGAAGGGGAATGGTGGCAAAAACCATAGGAATGACTAAGGTGGCCCAGGAAGAGACAGGGAAGAGATTCAAGCCAGGATGTATCAGCAACACCAGGATGTCGGGCTTGGCAAAGTAAAGCAGACAGCAAGCAAGATCAGTGGGGAACCAACTAATTAGAGGCAGCAGAAGGAAGATAAGGAGGGTGGCGGTTTGTTGTCTTCTGGTCAGTTTTTATATTTGTTGAAGGAAACTTCACCCTTCCATCCATCCAGTCAATAATTTTGTGCACAGCTGTATGTGCCAGGCTGTATTCTAGGCATTAGGGAAATAGCAGACAGACAAGTTCTCCAATGAAGTTCACATTGGGGGGTGAGGGGGATGGGAAGGGGAGGAAACTGATAGAAAAGTTAACAAATGGGGAAGATCATAAGAAGAAAAATGAGTAGATAGTGGTTAAGTAGCATGATGTGAAGGAGTGACTAGTGGCTGCTTTAACTGGGGTTGTCAGAATAGGCTACTTCTAGCCAACCATGTGTAAAATCAGAAGAGCAATTGAGCCACACAGAAAAATAAGTGTTGTTCAAGGTACTAAAAAAGAAAAGGACCAGGATGGCCTGTATATTTTGGGTGACGAGAATGAAGTGGGAGGCAGGTGTGTCATGCGACTTCGGAACCCTCCCTAGGCTATTTGGAATCTTAAGTGTCAATGGCAAGATTATTGAATTAAGAAGAGTTGTTGGGACTGCATTCAGTCTGGTGTGAGACAAGGCAGGGGGAAAAAACATCTCTGAGGTCATCTCTGGCTAACCAACATCTAAGATCCACTGCTTTTAAAAACCCTTCAAAGGGTCATTATTAAAGTGTTCTTCAAAACAGTACCTAATGGGCAGAGAACCTTTGGTGTAGTATCTGTTAGATGCTTTTAGGCAGGCACTGAAATTCAGAAACGTGAGTCATAAGGAATCTTTTTTTTTTTTTAATAAGGAATCTTGATTAAGAAAGGCCAGTTGTAAATCCATCTTCAAAACAGACTTACATAAAACTGTCTCCCTTCAGGAAACAGGTTTCAGCCACTAAAGCCGAAGCAGAAAAGGATGGAGTGAAGGTCCCCACAACCCTGGCGGAATACTGCATCAAAACTAAAGTGCCTTCCAATGACAACAGCTCAGATTTGCTTTATGACGACTTGTACGACGACGACATCGACGATGAAGATGAGGAGGAGGAAGATGCCGACTGCTACGATGATGATGATTCTGGGAATGAGGAGTCGTGACGTGCTCCTGCGGTGCCCCGTACTGCCCTGCCGTCTCAGGCCAAAGGGAGGGGAGCAAGTGGGGACCTAGCAACGGCCCCTCAGCAAAAACCTATCACAGGGGGTGGGAAAAACAAACACGGCTTCTGCTGACTCCCCTTATGGATCTCAGTTTGCTCCTTTTTATGGACCTCTTAATGGAGAGAAAGTAATCCTCCACAGAATGTCTGAATTCTTGCATTCTTTACCCTTCCATCACTGTATTGATTCTTTTTTTTTTTCCTTCTTCTTTAAACCCAAACTCTCGCCTCACTTCGTCTCTACAGAGTGTTCACAGCAAAACACGTTTGGTCTGTTTTTAGATTCTTGAAGAATTAAATAGTCTTTCATCGAGACGTTTAATGTGTTTAAAGCTGGGAACCCATTGGAAGTTCACAAGTGCTGCATATGCTGAGTAGCAAAAGAAAATGGAAAAAAAAATATAAAAACCCCACAAAACAAAAAAACAAATTTGCCAAGGTTTAGCTGCTCATTTAGTGTGTGTGCATTCGATCAGACCCACGGTGGTGAATTTTGTTTCCTTTCCCTTCTTAAGGCTGGGATACAGTGGGCATCAGGGACTTTGTGCTAAGCCTGATGAAATGTGTTCCTAAGGGCACAGAGCCCCTTCAGCCTCCAGAAAATCATCCTAACCCAGGGGGCCTCAGCTACTCTGAGGAGAGAGCGCAGATTTTGTTTTTTGAAATCGATTGGGATCTAAAGCCTGAAATAAATATTCATACTTTACATAGAACTGAGCACTTGATTGCTATTTATTTTAAAAGACAGAGTTGTTACCCTCCCCACCCCAAGGGAGTGGGGAGAGTGGAGATGAGAGAGAGAGAGAGAGAGAGTGAGAGTGAGAGTGAGAGAGAGAGAGAGAGAGAGAGAGTGTGTGTGTGTGTGTGTGTGTGTGTGTGTGTGTGTGTGTGTGTGTGTGGAGTCTTAGTGATGGGAACAAGGAGTTTAAAATCACTATGCCAATTTTGGTTGATGCTGCTGGGGAAAAAAAGTCAAAACTACTGGTGACCACTGTTGGGTGAGAGAACATCTGTTTTATGTGAACTTGGCCTTTCCCGCAAAGATTTTTTTTTAAATTACTCATGGTGAGAGTGTAGGTAGCCAGTTTTAATTACTCAGTATTACTCCTAGGTGCATGTGTTAAGATTTTGTTTTCATTGAGCTGCTTATGCCGATAGTGATAGCTGTGGATAGGAGACATGAGTGACCAGTTCCCACTTTCCTCTTTGGATGTGACCTGGACTTTTCTCTCCTTTCGATATACTCTGGCTGTGGAGGGCAAGCAGAAGTTGTGCATGGAGCTTGCCCTGGGCTGCTTTGACTTTTTTGGCAGGGCCGAGGGAATTGGCTGCAGGCCATGTACAGGCAACAGCTAGATTCTCCAACTGTGCAGTGGCTGCAGCTTTGACTTCCCTGGTCTCAATCATGTGTCACTTCAATCTTGAGATCCATCAGCCTTCAACCAGGGACTTCAGAACTTGGCGGTGACTTTTCTTTCTTTGGGGAGTGGGCCGGTTCATAGGAGGGCAGTATTCTTTCAGTGGGGAAAATCATTATAATGTAAAATTACAGACTTCGGAAGGAAAATATGAGCAGAGACTGGTTATAATCCTCCTCCAGATCCTTGTGTACTGGTGTCAACTTCTTTTCTTCAGATCATAGCTCAAGAACCAAAGGGTTGATGAGGGACGGGGGTAGGATGGATCCTAGAACAGAGTAGGTGATGCTTACTTCCTTAGCTCCTCCTTCCTTTCTGATCTCAGGGTTTTCATTCGCTCTTCAAACTCCAAACATTTGCTGACTAAATGTCAGCTGGCCTCTGGCCTCTAAAGCTTGATTTGGTATTACGTGGGAACGTTAACATGCAAAGGTTCGTATGGGACAGTATTGAGCCTGGTTGCAGAATCTCTGTCCAATCCCCATGGGGCCAGGACTACTTGTACCCCTGAATCTAGTGAATCCAGTCAATTCTGAGAACAGAGCAGCTCTTCGTGAGAAAACACTGGCTGCAAATTCTCACAGAAGGATGTTGGAACTAGCTTTTTACACCCCACACTTCTTAAGTAATGTTTCCGGATAACCTGCATATCTTCTGGAGTCCAAAGTCTCTCCTAATGCTCTGATTACCCCCTATCACCCCCACACACGTTTACAGCAGGTAGCTTGGTCTTCTCTCTTGGAGCGCTAAGATTAAGGCTTTTCTTTCTTCCCTTACCACGAAAGCATGTCTCTGCCCGGGCAGGCCGGGCACCTTGGCGTTGCGGAAGGTGCTGTGCTGCTTAGCCCTGTCCCAGTTAGACCCTGTTGGCCTCTGTTGCACGTTGACTCAGGGAGCCAGAGAGCCAGGTGGAGGTCATACCTCTCAGCCCTTTGGGGTGTTACTATTGAGGGCTGGCTTTGCCTCTGTAAGAGTACAATCAGTTCCAGAAAAGACTGGCATGTGTTGATTGGCTAGCAGGTAGACATTCTGATAACTCAGAATTAAATAACCTGTAAAACCCAGATGCTGGTTCCAGAGCTCTGTCCTGAGAACACATCCTGTGGCAAAAGAAAACTTGAGCATGTAATTTTTTTTCTTTTTGGGAGTAGAGGGCTCAGGCGCAGGCCAGAACCTTGTTAAGTACAGTTGTGCTGATTATTTGGTGTTAACATGAATTCAGAATCCTGCATTTTTAGATTCCTTTTGATTCTAGTGGAGGCCTCTCTGGATGCTCTTCAGGTCTGTGTGTTTTGAGGCTGGGTGGAGAAAGTAGTATCACGATTCCGTTGTTGCTTCTCAGAGTCTTCCCACTATTTCACATCATTCCAGAGTTCTTTTCTATTAGCCAGACTTTTTTGTAGTCCCCTCTTTCCTCTTCCCTGGAAATTGCTTTATTTGCTGGTTTCCTTATGTTTGGGACATACGCAGTAAGAGACTGTAGGGGAAAACGTGTAGTTCTCCACTGAAAGTTAACTCCCCACCCCTCCCATTCTGATAAATATGGTTTACATTTACAAAAAGATTCAGATGCAATTTTCAACTATTCTGAAACCAGCAGGACACACCTGACTTTAATAGTTTTCTTAGCTCAAACTGTAGATGTTTTTCTTCAGTTTAACTTATGAGAAAAGATTATCTGATGCATTTTTGTGTTGAATTTCCCCTTTAGTGGTTTATTTTGTCTTTTTCTGCCCATCTGTCTACTAATAAAATGTGAAATAAAATATACCTGTATTGCTACTTCCCCGTGGGATGACCCTCTTTCTTTGTGTTAAAGAAAACTAAAAGGTGGTCTCAGGACTTCCACTGTTCCCTCACAGGTAATGCCCATGACTCAGATGAAAAAATAAAAACCAAAACTGAATCTCACTGACCTGCCTTTTAGGATATTCTGCTCAACTCACCTCCTCACGGAATACACATTCCCAGTCCTTACTAGCTTTTAGGAAAGGTTATTAAAGACACAGCCATTTGTTAACCTTAATTCGTAAGTAGGGCACAGTCTGCCAGTATAAGTAGTCAGTAAGCTATGAGGGCGCTCCACTGCCCTCCTTAGGTGAGCCTTTTGTTTTCATCGTCATTTGTCTTTGGAACTTCCGGCTGCTCATTAATAAGCAGGGATCAGGCAAGAGATCGTATAAAGTCCCTATTTAGTTTCACTTATGAACACTTACTTTTTTTCTGGCGGGGATCTCAAGCTGTGGGTCACCAGCAGCACATGCCCCATCTGCTGAAAGGACCACTGATTCTAGAGGCCAAAAACAGAAAGGTGAAGCCTGACTCCAGGTTGGTTCTGGCACACCGACTTGACCAGTATTTGATGCCCCCACTCTGGTTGCTTATTTAGCCTAGTCGGAGGGGTTACTTAGGAGTGAGAGGCTGCAATGCCTTGGGCAAAACCTGGAGGTTGGAGCACAGTTGTGCTGCAGGCTAGTGGGGCCATCTGCCTCCTGCCACACACACGGCTAGTGGATGGCCCTGATCCCTCCCGGACTCGTGGCCTGGGAGCAGGAGGAAGGAGCCACACCGGAATCCTGGCCCAGGCGAACGGCTGCTTGGGACTTTCTGGAGCAAGTACTTCACCCCAGATCCACTTACCTACTTCACACCACCGTGACTCGCTACTCTTCTCTTCCACCCCATCCCTTGACTATAAACACCAAGATTCTGTTTGGTCGCTGAAGAACAAAGGATAGACAGGGTGAGCTGTTCAAACTTCCTCTCAGGCCATGAGAAACACATCCTCCGCTCTTACCTTTCAGATTTTAATGTCTGCTGACATTTGGAAATGAAAGGACCCCGCCCTGGTACTCCTTTTGACCGGGGCCTGTAAGAGATTGCCTTATCAAAGTGAACTTCCATAACCACTGCCCAGTGCCCTGTCAGCCTCATTTACCTTTCCACTCCGTGGATGCTGACCGGGACAAAGAAGGGGTGCCAACTGAAGCCCTCACAACCCGCTGTCAGAAGACTGACCATGTGGGTTCTACTTGTACAGCTCTGCTGTGAAGTCCACGGTGCCTGGAACAATCACGAAGACGGCCTGTGCCCTGAGCTCACCCTTTCAGTCACACCACACAGACACCGTGCATGCTCTCAGAACTTTATTAGGTGGAGATTGGGCAAAAGAGAAAACCCCTGAAACAGTCGCCCACCTGGTTCAGGACAACTGGAATAGAGGAGCCTTTGCTTGGAGACGTGCTCTCACTGAGGTGAAGGTGTATCTTTGATTTTTTTTTTTTTTTTTAAAGGGAGCAGACTGACTGAACATCTCTGAGCACAACTTCAGACGGTTTTAAAAAATGGTCAGCCAGAGGAAGGCAAGTTTCTTGGGGACAAGACCAGAAGCAGAAGCCTCTGGTTTGTATGAAGACAAACAGGTGCCACTTTCATGTTGAGCAGGAAGGACATCTCTGCTATTCCCAGATGAAGATTTGGTAGGAGAGGAACATGACAAATGACAACAAGGGCCAGTTTCTCAAAAAGAGAGAGGGCTAAAGTCATTACACAGGGAAGGAAACTCAAATAATGGCTTACAAGGGAGTGAGATAAGTCGTGATTCTTCATTGGTACCTGACCCCAGTCCCCAAACTGCCTTAAAAGCAGCCCTTCCAGACACTGCTCCCAGCTGCCCAAGGGCTGGGAGGCCACAGAGAAGGCCTGAAGGCAAGAGTGGGAAAGGGGCGTATTTGCTACAGCGAGCAGGGGCTCGAGTCGGGATTGCAGACCTGGCTAAGAGGAGCAGCTGTACCCCCCCAGGCCCCCAAGACTTCTATCACATTTACAAATACATACATAAATACATTACATACAATAGCGAGTCTGGGAGGCAGGCTCCCCACAGAGGCTCGGCTAACACAGTTACACGTCTCAGGAATTCTAGGAAAGGGCGCTGGGCTTCCAGAAATGGGCTCCGTGTGTTCTCTCCTGCCCAGGGTAAGCCCCGCCCGAGCCCACCCCTCTTCAAAGGTTCAGTTTGTCCAGTAGGGAGAGTTGCCGTAGGCGGGCTTGGAGGCTTGCGACTTGGGCTGCAGGGAGCTGGGCTGGCTGCGCTGACCCGAGCCACTCTGAGGAGGAGGAGGAGGAGGAGGAGGAGGAGGAGGAGGAGGAGGAGGAGAGAAGGCTGTAAGGGCTGGAGCAGGCCCCCGAGGCTAGGGCAGGGTGGCTGCCTCCATCACTGGGCTCACCTGGGCATCCTGTGGCAGGTGGTGGTGTAGCAGCTGTGAGTGAGGCTGCTGGTGGGCAGGGAGGATGTGCAAGAACGGTGGGGGCGCATAACCGGGGGCCGCACCGGCGGCCAGGGGCCCTGTGGAACCCAAGGCCGAGGGCAGGCTGAATGGTGGAGGAGTCCCTGCGTGAAATCCCTGCTTGTCAAAAGTCTGCAAGGTAAAGAGACCATGGTAAGGGGCCAGCTTGGGCGGCATCTCCCACCGGCAGACCCATCCAACCGAATCCTCCCTCACCTGAGTCTTGTTGTACACTGAGCCGCTCATGTCAGGTAAGCCGGTGGTGCTTGAAGACACGGACACGCCTAGGAGGGAAAGCAGTTGTTCCCATGGCCGTTGAGCCCAGCTCCAGCCTCCCCCACCTCCAGGGGCACTCTGGGGTAGCCTTGCCTGAGAAAGAGTCAGTAGAAGACAACTACTCTGGGCCTCAATCCTGGAAAGGAGGGGTAGACGCTACCTTTGCCAGGCCCAGAACCTGCAGACTTGTTTTGTCCCTGTGATGATCCACCATAGCCGCCCTTGGTGTAATCTCCCGCTGCTGTCCCCTGGGTCAGGTCGTCATAACCTAGCATGGCAGGGTACAAGAGGCACGTGTGAGCTAGGCGAGCCTTCCCACCTGCATCTCTCCGTGCTGGGAGCACCTCTCACCTGTGCTGTAGCTATGCTGGCCGTAACCGCCGGCCTGCTGGAAAGGGGTGGTGGGGGTGCTGAGGTTCACACCATGCTGCTTGGCTGAGGCCGGAGGGACCTGGCGGCGCAAGCGGAAGAGGCGTCAGTGGAGGAACAGGGCAGAGGGGAGGAGGTGAGGTATCCCCCGGCTTCGCCCCAGGCAGCACAACCACAAAGCACCTGCGTTCGGTAGGCCGGCCCGCGCTGGCCGTAAAAACACATGGGAAAGGAGCTTTGGCCCCAGCCTAACACACTGCTCACGGCCAGGTGAGACCGGGTAGGGTCAGGTCCCTCCCTCCCTGCTTCTGGTCCCCACAACTGGAGTAACAACACCGCCGACACTCACAAACATCGTGGGCCCATACTGGAAGGCACTAGGCACGCCTGTGTAGTAGGGGAGGCCAGTGTAGCTGTAGCCAGGGGGCAGCGCAGGATTCAGAAAGGGCTGCTGGGCTGTGTGGTGGGCCTGGGACTGGCTCTGCTGCGGCTGAGCCAGTGTGGTGGGGGGTGCAGGGGATGCAGAGTCACCTCGGCCAAACTTTGTCACATCACCTAGGAGAAGAGGAACACTGACTCGAATCACTGCCCCCACCCCCTCCTTATCCAACAAGGAAAAAAGCCAGACTGGCTCCTGTCAATAGGGACAGGTCTAGCTGCCGGCTCAACAGGAAGCGAGCAGGCCTCGCTCAGCCCTTCTGCTTCTGTTTCCAGATGCTGGCATGAGCTGCGGACCGGTCCCAGGCCCCCCCGCCCCCCCACTCCTCACCCCTTGAACAGACTGACCTGAATACGGGTTATTAGCTAGGCTCCCATCTCGGCTGGCCAGGGCTGTGGGCGTGGCAAAGGGAATCCCATAGTAATCCTAGGAGAGACCACGGAGGCTCCATCAGCAGAAAGGCCTCGGCCCAGTCCCAGGAGAGCAGGCCCAGCAGGCAGCCCAGGCACTCCAGGTGATGCCCCGCTCCCCGGACAGGCTGGACTGCAGGGACACAGGCACACCCCCAGAGGGCGGCCCCAAATTCAAAGAAAGTGCTGCGCATTGGAGTTGTGCAATGTGGCAGCCGCACAGTGTGCAGACGCGCTGACAAGTCCGTCAGCCTTCGCCAGGCAGAGCCCCAGACGGCCCAATCTCACGGTAATTTACGGCACAGGTGGGCGCTGGTAACGCCACAGGCCAAACCGACTCCACTGGCTTTTCCTAGGTGACAGACTCTAAAGGGCAGCTAGGAGAGCTGACTGGATTACAGCACCCTGAAAAGGAACCAGCAGGAGAGGGGGTGCCTGAGGGTTTAACAGACGTCAGAGCAGCAATGCCAGGCAGGCACAGGTCTAAGAGGACCCCAGGTAGGGTCCCCAACTGGCCCCTTACCACCCACGCTGTCATGGCAGCACTGACCACGGGGGAGCCAGGGCAAGTGTGGGCACCAAGAGCGCCAAACAGCAGAGCTCTGTGGGGCAGGGGAGGCCTGACCCGGCCCTCACTCACCACCCAGGGCTTTGCCAGCACTGGACATATGGCCCCCTGGCCTCTGGGCCCCAAAGGGAGCCTTCCTGCTTTCTTCGTGGGCAACAGTGCCTGGTCACAACCAGACAGGATGGCACCTCTACCCTCCTTCAGCCTCATCTCCACTTAACCTCCAGGAAACCCATTAGCTTCCTCAGCCCAGAACCCCAGGAGGCAGCAGGACCAGGAAGTCGCAGAGGTAGCAAGAACACAACCGGGGACAGACCGAGAGCAAGCCCAGGAGGGGGAGCTCTTTCACAGAAAAAAGGAAAAAGTAAAGGTCGGGACTAGGCACAGAAGTACCAGACTCTATAATCAGTGAACAAAGGGTTGAAAAACGAACATAATGTATGTCAAGAGGTGGGCTCAGAGGTGATTTCTGCTGAGGCACAAAAGGATACAAAGACTTACAAGGCAGGGTGACTCCCAGGACTGGGATCCCACTGAGTCCCTCTTGGGGGCCCCCACCAGGACCCCCTCTGACACTCCCATCTGATGCCTGGGGCTCTCAGATCAGGTGGCTACAAGGTTTCCTCCTGAGAGTCAGGGGGCCAGGGCCACTTCCAGTTCCTGTTCTGCAAAGCCCTAAGGCTCAGGCATTCCCCAGAGACCCTAAGTTCTGTTGACCACCCCAGAAATCTGCCATGTCTTCAACATCCACTCTGGGTCCTTCGGAGACACGGGCGCAGTCGTGTGATGGGCGGCACCCAGGGGGAAGAGCCGCCTAGCCACCCACCTCTGCCTCTGGAAATACTTAAGCAGCCGGAGAAGCATTCTCCTGAGAGACAAGAGCTTCAGCCAGCAGGCCCGGGAGGTGGAGGGGATACCTGCATTCCCCTGAGCTCTTTGTGCGCAAGCAGAGCAGGGGGCAGCCGATGTGGAAGAGTTAAGGAAGGATGCCACACTGGGGGAAAACCTCACATGGAGCAGGGGCGTTCAGACAGCTACTTTCCATCACCATGAGTCCAGCAAAGGCCAGAGCAAGGAAGGCAGGGCGGGGCGGCAGGTCTGTCAGGGAGGGAGCACACCTCCTTCAGCACCGCCTCCCGCCACCCCCCCCAAGACCTGTGCACTGAGGCGCCCCAGCCTGCAAGCAAGGGTCGGATGAAAGCTGCAGCAGCCCCGGCCTCAGAGTGAGGCTGCACAACGAGTGACTCCCTGAGGCCGGCGCGCTTGTAAGCAGTGATGGCAGGTCGGCTCCACAAGGACCCAGCGGGTCACCCAGCCGGGGACAGACGAGCCATGCTGCCATCCCAAGCATCACTGATGGCCACTTCAGAGGCCAAAAACACTGAACGGCACTTCAAAGAAGAAGACGTGAAAAAAACTCTAGAGGTGGTCAGGCAACCCCATGTCTAGGCCATATGGTTTTCCTTTTTCAAAATGGGGGGGGGCTGAAGGAAGAGAAGGACCCACATGTAGTAGGGAGCACTGCCTCCTGGGACCTCAGGTCCCAACGGTCTCCAAGTTCCCAAGCTGTAAGCACAGGACACTCTTGCCCAGCTACAGTGACATGAGGCACAACGCTCGAAGGCCAGAAGCTTTCTCAGTAGGGTGGCAATGAAGGCCGAGGGAGGAAGAATCTGTGAAAGAGCCTGAAGCCCCTCATCCCCCACCACATCCCACTCACCATTGGCAGCCGTGACTGCAGCATCTGGAGCTCGTCATAGCCATAGATCTGCGTGAGGACCAAAAAGGGTATTAGGGACCATGTACCATCCCCTGGGAAGCCCAGGCCCATGTAGGGGCCTAAACAAGGTTGGGGAGATGGAACACGGGGACTCAGACCATCTGCTGTGGGAAGACACCTTGATGAAGGTTCAGATGAGGGAGAAATATTAGGGAAGGAGCAGCCCAAGGCCCGCGTCACCAGGTCCTGCCAGGTGTCAGCCTCTAAGGCCACAGGAGCCAGGCAGCCTGGAGCTATACACCATGCACTCACTGGATAGGCAGGAAGCAGTCCTCCAGGGCCCACGAGGTACTGGTTGTGCAGCAGGGGAGGTACTCCCTGGGGCAGGTTAGGGGGTGCTTTGCCTGTAAAAGCAAAAATCAAATGAGTGAAGATGCCACCACAAAGAGTGAGCTGCCTCAGCTACTGTGGGGGAGGGGGAGCTGAGCTCACGGTCACAGTGCTGCCCTATATGGGGCCACCACCAAGAGGGGAGGGCAGCAGCTGAGAGACACAGAAGGCTGTTCCAGGAAGTAGGGGAGACAAAGCACGTGACACCACATTCAGGCTCTTTCCACATCAGAGGGTTCCATGCCCAGACAGAAACACCACCCCTCACCCACTCCTGTCACACAGCACTGAGCAAACCTGAACATAAGGAACAATCTGCCGCCTCAGAACAGAACGAAGGCTGGGTGGTGCCAGCAGAGGGGGACAGGCTGTGTCAAAAGTAGCTTTCAGGAGTTTCTACCAAACCACAGTTTGCTTGGTCCACATAGACTGCCCAAGTCTGGCTGAAGGACAATCAGTGACACTAAGTGGCCAGAAGGAGCCCAAGAGAGCTATTCCCTGGTCCATTCACATCACCAGGCCATCTCAGCTCCAGGGAGGACTAAGGACAGAAAAGACAGGGGACCTACAGGCACAAAGGATACCAGGAATCCTGCCCAGGGGGAGCCCACCAGAAGACTGGTTTCACCCATCCCCACACATCATCACTGGAAGGACTGGGACTCTCTAAGAAGTCAGTGGAACAAAGTGGACCAGGGAGCAATGGCAGAGCTGGAGGGAGACCAAGATGTTCCTATGCCTGTAGCTACCCAGCATGCCCAGCAGCCACCTCTAGGCATCCTCCCTGGGAAGCCAAGCATCACCTTCTAGGGGCAGGGGATAAGTAGGAAATGTCTGGGGAGCACACACCTGAGGTCACCAAGGGCGTGGCCCTGGTACTGCTGCTGGGGGCACTCACAGTGGTCCCCCCCAGGCAGAGGCTGTTCACTGTGTTCATGCTGCTCGGCAGGCTGAGCCCTGAGGACGTGGCACCCGAGGCAGAGGTTGCTGCCGTTGAAAAGGTGGCTGAGGACTGGAGGGAAGGGGAGCTCTCCACACTGGCATGCTGGCAAAACAAAAAAGCGAGGACACATGGATGTGGTGGCAAAACACAAGAGTGCAAAAGAACCTGGTCTGGCATCTGGGTCTGCACTCTGAAGACCCGTCTGAGGGGCTCTGTGCTCCGTGCTCACTGTGGGCCCCCACACTGCAGCTGGATGAGGCCGTCAGGACGCAGCTCCTGAGCTGAGTATCATGCAGTTAAAGCTGAGCTTTGCTGACCAACACCCTCTTAAAGATCATTGTTCGAGCTCTGCTGTCTTACCTGAGATACAGACACCCACGTAAACCTTAGGTCAGATATGAACCCCGACCACTGGCATGTGAGGTGAGAACCCATCTCACAGAAAAGCAAGCAGTCTCAAGGGAGTCCATCACGGCACCACAGGCAGCCCAGCCCAAGTCAGAGCCTTCTGGGGACAGCTGCCTTCTACTAGGCTTCCTAACTAGTCTGATATGGAAGTCACAGGGGGCCAAGAGAGGCCTTTCCTCATAACCTGGGGACACTGTGCAGGCCACTAAGACCTACCTAGAAGGGCATGGCCTGCATCTCTGCCTCTTCAACAGGATCCACCTAGGATGGAAGGGTGAAACCCAACAAAAGCTCTGAAGAGTTCCAGGAACCCTGGCCAGCTGCTCAACTACAGGCAGGAACAAGGTACCTGAAAGGGCTTCAAGGGCTGAGGGGTGGGTAGAAGAGACGCACCTGGTTGCACAAAACAAGGCCCAACAAAGGAAGAAAAGGCTCTGTAAGACTGAGACCAGCCTTCAAACCAGAGCATGTACAGAAAAAAGTAATCTGGAAACTCTTGGAGGAGAAGCCTCAGGAATAGGAAGCTCCAGGAGAAGGGGAACAACCATGCAATGGTCTTCCACTACACAGCTCTGTGTTAGGTCCCAGCCTCACAGGCTGCCCTACCCAGCTGAGCACTGACCTTAAGGTCCTGACATCCAGAATCAGTTCAACAAGGTGACGATAGCCAAAGTCGTGGTCTCCTGGGGCACCCCAGGACTTGCTGACGGAAGCTGGGTAAGGAGAGCCCCAGGGGCAGGGAGAGGCGAGGCCATCCTGTCCCAGCACCGGCTCCACGTTCCTCTGCACAGAGCCAGGCTGACCACCCGCTACACAAACAGGAACAGCTTTGACCACTGTGCCTACGTGTCCCTAGTCAGAGAACTTTTTAACTCTTTTAACCACAGGACAAAAAATTACTATTCCCTAGTCTGGGGAGAGGGGGAATCCACAAAAGAGCAGCTTACTAGAAAATCAGTGCCTGATTTGCTGAAAGGAACTCAAAGTCGCCCAGCAAGCTTTCCTACCGCCAAATGAACCTGACAGCGCTCCTGTCCCTGTCCCTCACCTGTCCAATCTGTGAGTGCCACGGGGGGCTGGCCTAACTGCCCTCCACTCCATTTAAACAGCTCATACAGTGGCTCCAACGGGGCACTGGAGCTGGCTCCTCAGAAGGGGCCCAGAAAAGCGCAGCTGCACCAACCCTTCCACAACGACACAAAAGGCAGGAGAAAACATGGAGATTTCCTTCATAAACTTCCAGGGGAAAGACCTAATTCCAACAGATTGTGAGAAGACCGTGGTGTCTGACTATACAAAAGTCAAAAATCAAGTGACAAACCTGAGAAAAGTATCTGCACCTCCCATCACAAAGGGCTACTTTCTATTCTCCTGCATATGGATTGCCTAGAAAGAGACACCAAGGGCCTGACAAAAATGAACAATATGAAGAACTCGCTGAAAAGGAAATTCAATGGCATTCTAATATATTAAAAAAAATGTTCAATCTCATTCAATTAAACACTGTACTGACAGGTCATTTTTCAATTAACACAGGGGAAACATACAAATATTTGGTAACATGATCTGAGGAGGCAGCGGGGAAAGAGCACATCTCCTTCATTGCCAGTGGGAAGTAAACAGGTTAGAATCACTGTGCAGTGACTGCAATTCGGCAATTTGTATAAAACATCAAATGCCTGGGGATTCAACCTCCAGGACTGCTTCTGCAGACACAGCAAGGTAGAAAGTTATCGAATGTAACATCATTTATAGTGTTCAGACAGAAAACGGCCCCGCATCTCCAGCAGTGAGTGATTTAATAATGTGACGTAGTAGAGCTATGATAAAGAAGACAGAATCTATGTTTCAACACAGAAATATCTCAGAGAAACACTGTTACATTGGGGGGGGGTGGACGCTGAAGGACACTATCTAGGGAACACTCCCATGCATGTTACAGGGGGAAAAAAATCAAAGAAAAAGGGCAAGAGGCAGAGGAAAAGTGACAGTGTATGCATTTCCTACTTTATGGGTTCAAAAAACCTCCAGCGGATCAAGAAAATCGTAGGAGGAGGGGTAGAGCCAAGCAGACATGACACAGAAAAACACTTCAGTGTGTATGTCCTCATACTTCTCATTACTGAATCCTGTAACTGTACTAGCAAAGCAGCAATTCTGGCTCATGACAAAGTCTGGGACACCCTGGATGAGGCCACTCTAGCCGTGGTGGTTTGGAGTTTCTTGCTAAGACATGGAGAACGGCAAACCCACACGAGCAAGAACACCAGCTCTAATGCACCAGGGCTGGGGGCCAGGAGGCCAGCTGTCCAGGGCTCGGGATGGCAACCACCCAGAGCTCCCACCAGCCAAACAGCAGGCACAGGCAGGGGGCCAGGCGCTCACTCCGAGGACAGAGGCGTCCACCCTGTACTCTGCTATAAAGACGGTGATCTATGTATTTTATGACAAAGAATTTTGTGCAAGATTTCACTCGGATAACTCGAGTTAGCCACATCTTGATGTAAGGAGAGTTGACCCTTCGCCATCACTCCGTTCTGTAGCAAATAACCTCTTCTTCAGAGGACACTAATTTCTCAAATTTCTAATTTCTCCTATTGATCTGTACCCCAAACTTCCTTCCCTGCTTGGGGATCCATCTCCTGCTATCTGTTCTCAGTACGTGTCTGCCCACCCTCAGGCTCAGGGTCCCCCAGCTTGAGTGAAGAACCCCACTACCACCCTGCCTCTTCGCCATCTCACCACCTTGCATTCCTCCACCCACCACAAGCTATACAGACCCACCCCTGAAACTGTGCCCCCAACTCCGCACCTTGAGAAGCCACACTTTGATAGCCATCACCCAGGGTTACTCGTTAGCACATTAGGATGCTTGCCAACTGGCACCCCGCTTGTACTTCCATGCTTGACTCTCCACACTCCAGGCTTCCCTCTTCATTATCAACCTCCACAAAGCCTGCCTCTGAGCTGGGGAGGACGGCCTGAGATGGCACGAAGGAGGAGTGGACAGAAAACCTCAGGCCACAATGAGGAACGTCCCCATGACCACCCACAAACTGGAATGCAGTTACACTGACAGGGCTAAGAGCCAGGGCTGGGAGTCTGAGAGAGAGAGAGACATGTGCATGCGGCAAAAGACAGCTAGTCCTCACACAAGCTCTCACTTTTCCCTCCCAACATTCTCTCTACAGTGGCCTTCCCAAAATAACAGAAGGTAATCTAGAACAATGCTCTTGATTCAACTTGACTTCTGGTGGAGCACAAGCTGAAATTAGCAATGAGCCTACTTCAAACACCTCAACATGACCAACCCCAAAGTGGGTTCAAAAGGCTCCTCTAACAAACAAGGAGCTCAGTGAATGCTTAGGAACAAATCCAGCCCCTAACCAGTTTAGGAAGCAAGATGTCCTCCATGGTGCCTAGGAAAATCAACAGCTCAAACCACAGGCCTAGACTGAGGTAATATACCTGAGCAATTTGAGATTATCTTAAGACATTCAAAACCCACAAACCAAAGCTCCACCTGCACAGGACAAAGCTCTGCCGAACTCGCTGAGCAGGGTGGGGGATGATGGGACCGAGAAGACACTTACTGTGTGTGATGTGCTGGAGGAGAGCGTTGCGTGTGCAGAGGAGAGGCTGCTCTGATGGCTGGAGAGTGAACTAGAAGACAAAACAGAGCACCACGTGTCCACCCCACCGAGTCACCCCACAGGAGAGGCCCACGTGTCCAGGTGGGCTAGGTCTAAGTTTGCCCCATCCCTCCAAGAGGAGCCCTGGCTTCACACCCATCATTCATCATCACCTGGGGGCCCAGACCAGGTGCTGGGATGTTTAGAAATGATCTAAAGGGTCATTCACCATGAGGATCTGGGATATCATGCCTGGGAAACCTCCAGAGCCAGCTTCAGCCAACTAAAATCATTTGCTCTTTTGGGCGCCTGGGTGGCTCAGTTGGTTAAGCAACTGCCTTCGGCTCAGGTCATGATCCTGGAGTCACGGGATCGAGTCCCACATTGGGCTCCCTGCTCAGCAGGGAGTCTGCTTCTCCCTCTGACCCTCTTCCCTCTCGTGCTCTCTATCTCTCATTCTCTCTCTCTCAAATAAATAAATAAAATCTTTAAAAAAAATAAAATAAAATAAAATCATTTGCTCTTTAGACTGTAAAAAGTAAGAACAGAATTGCACTAAGAACACTGGCCAGCCACAGAGACCCCATTCGATCTGTGTGCGAGGGAAGAAAGTTCCTACGTTCAAACCCCCACCGCTCCCATGCCAGAGCCTGACTTCCCATCAAATCAAGAATTCAAACCAAAGGCTTTTATTCCTGGCTAAGGGGGGGAAGAGGGTATACTCTACATACTCTACTCCAAAGACATAGGATGAGGACCAAACAAAATCCATTAGCCTACACCCTGTTCTAATAATTCAGTCTCTGAAGCCAGAACAAGAGCAAGTGAAAGACCTGCTCAAAAACCAAACATCGTTCTTATTTCACATCGCAGGGACCCAAGCCCAGAGCTGAGAGGAGAGGCCAGGCTCAGGGCACACTCCTCAGGGGTCCAAGAAGAGGGGCAGCAGCGACTCTCCGGCCCCCCCCATTCCCAGAAGCCCCAGTGCTCTGCGGCAGCAGAGGCATTACAAGTAGGCACGGTTTACACATCTGGTGCTTCTGAGACCACGACCCAGCCAAAACCTACGCACTGACACATTATTGCTAAAGACCAGGCCACCGTGCTGGGGGCAACAAGAGGGTTTTGTTCATTGCCACTGCTTTCTATAACGGTTTGGGACTTCACCCCAGTGTGCCTCTCATTTGGGGCCCTTATTTTCTCCATACCTGCTAAGCTGAGAGAGGGGACTGCTGGACAGGTCAGCAGGCTGGGACATGGAGGGCAAAGTGGCGGTGTGCTGAGACGCAGAGGGCAGAAGCGCAGTGCAGGAAGTGGTGCTGGGCAGGGGGCCCACAGACGGGAGGGCGGAGGGAGGATCTGTTGTCTTTGGAGCTGGAACGGATGAAGTAGCTGTAAGAAACAGATCGGTTTAGCTCCAGAACCAATCATAAGTATCTAAAATATGCTCAATGTTTTGTTTTTTTTTTTTAAGATTTTTTATTTATTTGACAGAGAGAGACACAGCGAGAGAGGGAACACAAGCAGGGGGAGTGGGAGAGAGAGAAGCAGGCTTCCCTCTGAGCAGGGAGCCCGATGCGGGGCTCGATCCCAGGACCCTGGGATCATGATCTGAGCTGAAGGCAGACCCTTAACGACTGAGCCACCCAGGTGCCCCTATGCTCTATGTCTTGTAACACATCAGGATCGGTTTGAGAAACATATAAAGTTACATTCCCCGGGGAAAATACACAAGCCATTTCTGTCCAATACAACCAATAAAACTGACATGTGAAGGTAAGAACAACAGGACTTGGCCAAGAATAGGAATTGATAGCTTTTTAACCAACCCTAAACTATCCTAAAACGTGGACATACTTCCCCGAATTAAAGGAACCCAACCCTGAGCTGCACTAGAAAGGGCAAGAGGCTCTGAGACTGATACACAGGATTACAATGTGAGGCAAATTTGTCTCAAAAGGCACAAGGGATAGGACAAATCTGGTAGGCAAGACCGTCAAAGAGTTAGGTATTTGCTTCTATCAAGTCAGTATTAAATCAGGCTGACCTGGAAAAGCTCACAGCCAATTCGGGGCAAATGGGGTTTGAGAGCCCAGGGTACATACAGTGTGGAGTGTTACAGATACCTAAAAGCCACTGGCAACACCCACTTTCACATTCACAGTGAGCATTTCCTTACACAAACAAACAAAACCCTCAGGGCACATGAAGGAGCTTATTAGGCTTCCAGAAGAACATAAATATGATCAAACCTAGCTGTAGAAAAGACTCAGTTTTAGTTCTATCCACACGCGTAACTCGGATATGTGCTTGGATATAAAGCATCATTGTCTTTTCCAGTCAGGAAGAAAGAATAAACTCTACCTACCCACAGGACTCCCTGGGAACCGAATGGAAAACATACTAGTCTCTAAAAAGGATGATTTGAAAACAAACACAGATAGCAAGAGGGTCAACACACAACTTGGCCCATTCTTTGGGAGTCCTTATAGTCTAGAGGCTTGTTTTTTACTGACAGTCTATTCCAAACATGATACCTGTTGTTACAGACACCAGATGAAAACACCACAGATGCCCCTGACCCAAAACTCAGACTCATAACTTACCTCCCTAGGTCTTGGGTCATGCTGATAACAAGTTCACAAGAGGCCTCTCAAAGAATGGGGGCGGGGGGGGGGGGAGAGGGAGGAGCGTGGGAAGTAAGACACAGATGGAGGATAAAAACCTATCTAAAATGCACACTGTTTTCCAGACATTTCATTTCTCACTATCTCATTTTAAATCTCCAAATACGGGTGCCTGGGTGGCTCAGTCGGTTTAATAATTTACTATTATTAAATAATAATAACCTAACTCATAATTTCAGGGTTGTGAGATCGAGCCCTACACTGGGCTCCAAGCTGGGTGTGCAGCCTGCTTTAGATTCTCTCTCCCTCTGCCGCTCTCTCTCTCTGCCCCTCCCCTACCTCTAAAAAAATTAATTACAATCTCCAAATAATCAGGGCGCCTGGCTGGCTCAGTTGGTAGAGCGTGTGACTCCTGATCTCGGGGTTGTGGGTTCAAGCTTCAGGCTGGGTGTAGAGATAATTGAAAACAACAAAAAATCTCCAAATAATCTAGGACACCTCTAGGTGTTCTCAATCTCATGCCTGTACTAAAGAAACTTGTCACCAAGGCTTGTGGAATGAGAATGTCCTCTGACATCAGAAGTTCTCATAGCTACCGTTATCTCCAAACAGCTCCGGCAGCCCAGCAATACCAACACCAATTCTGAGTAAATCACATGTGTCACTTTAATTCCAACTGAGGCCCCCTCTTGGACTGATGAAATTCCATGTCCACACTACCAAAAATCCTAAATAAAAGGAAAGTCTGAGGTGCCTGGGTGTCTCAGTCAGTTAAGTGTCTGCCTTTGGCTAAGGTCATGATCCCAGGGTCCTAGGATCGAGCCCCACCACGGGCTCCATGCTCGGCGGGAAGCCTGCTTCTCCCTCTGCCTACTGCTCTGCCTATTTGTGCTCTATCAAATCAATCAATCAATCAATCAATCTTAGGGGAAAAATAAAAAAACTCCTTCTGGCTTCTCTACCCAATATTGATACCCATTTGCCTTACTGAATAAAGAATGAAAATCATCAACAATCACAGATAACCAAGCCAAGAACAAAGGAAAGAAACAACTAACAGATTCACCTGCACCAACTCTAGAGATCACTGAGCTTACGAGAATCGGGGGCAGGGAGACCCTCATTTTTTTCCCCCACATGTTTATAAGTGAAGAGCATTTGACCTCTCTTCTTTGCAACAGTCCACTAGATCCTGAAGGCAATGAGCATGTCTTTCCTGAACTAGCACACCAAATTTTTCTTTTAAAAGTTCTTCCCAGGGGATGCCTGGATGGCTCATTCAGTTAAGCACTGCCTTCAGCTCAGGTTGTGATCCCAGGGTCCTGGCATCGAGTTCCACATCAGGCTCCCTGCTTAGCGGGGAGCCTGCTTCTCCCTCTCCCTCTGCGTGCTGCTCCCTCTGCTTGTGCTCTTTCTCTGGCAAATAAATAAAATCTTAAAAAAAAAAAAAAAAGTCCTTCCCAGTATTGAAGAGCTCTATGACAATACTGGAACCTCTACCTCAAAGCAAAGCATCTTTTAAATCCATACCACAATCTACACCTGGGGTGCAGTCGACTAGAAGAGAGTGATATGAGGCTATTACCTCCTTCCTGCTGTAGTTATGACATTATTAACAGCTACAACTTACTCACACGGGAATCTCTAGCTGACCTTGTAAACCCTGCCAAAGAAAAGATGCCAATGTGATGGATCAGAAGTAACTATCAGAAAAAATGCAAAAGGACTATTTTTGCAGAATTAGTCACTGACCCGTTGTTTTCCCCATATTAGCTACACTCTTTTTCTGTTTGATTTCCACCAGCTAAAACAAGAATGGTTAGTTTATATACTTACTGTCTATTGTCTGCTGACTTCGACCACCACTATGTCCATTCTATAAGGAAAGAAAAAGAAAGTAAGCAAACCCACAAAACCAAATGACAATTTATCTGAATTTCTATTGGAATTTAGCCAGAAACATATGCAGTATAGGTCAGTCAAGAAACAATGGCCTGTTTTATTCTGTTTGGTTTTTGTTTTTGTTTTTTGTTTTTTTTAAGATTTTATTTGACAGAAGAGACACAGCAAGAGAGGGAACACAAGCAGGGGGAGTGGGAGAGGGAGAAGCAGGCTTCCCACATGGAACAGGGAGCCCGATGCAGGGCTCGATTCCAGGACCCAATGTCAAAACTACTAAAGAATGGGGCACCTGGGTGACAGTTAAGCGTCTGCCTTCAGTTCAGGTCACGACCCAGGGTCCTGGGATCAAGCCCTGCATCAGGCTCCCTGCTCAGCGAGGAGCCTGCTCCTCCCTCTCCTCCCCGCTCATGCGCTCTCTCACCATCTCTGTGTCTCTCTCTCTCAAATAATAAAAAAATCTTTAAAAAAAAAAAAAAAAAAACTACTACGGAAAAAGACAAACCTTATAGATGTTGCCTCTGTATTAGCCCAAATCCAGCACAATTTGTTTTTTTAAGATTTTTTTTTTTTTATTTATTTGATAGAGAGCACTAGAGAGGGAACACAAGCAGGGGAAGTGGGAGAGGGAGAAGCAGGCTTCCCGCCAAGCAGGGAGCACGATGCGGGGCTCGATCCCAGGACTCTGGGATCATGACCTGAGCCGAAGGCAAACGCTTAATGACTAAGCCACCCAGGCGCCCCTCCAGTACAATTTCTGTTCAAGAAATGTTATTTACAACACGTTTTTTTCTTTAAAACAATTTGAAGTTACTTACAAGAAATGTAGACTATAAAAGATTAGAACTTTGAGAGGGAGAAAACCAAAAATGAGTTAAAATAAAAGACTGCGGACGCCTGGGTGGCTTAGTTAAAAAAAAAAAAAAAAAAAAAGACTGAGGTCAGGTAAAGGGAAACACAATATACCTTACCAATATATACAGATAAGTAGAGAACAATCAAAACTCCACTCTCTGCCTCCCTCTAAACTAGAGTTCACTACACACTAAATACACGGACATAACACTGAGCATGTACATCCAAACAGCACAAATGTCAACATCCAAAGAAGTGTTTTCAAAACCACACCAAACAGAAAGAATAAAAAGGGGTAAAAGAAAAAGAGCAGCCATCAGACCTTAGGTATATTTTATCCCACCTTGAAAATCACTTTTTTTTAATTTTTTTAGATTTTATTTATTTATTTGAGAGAGAGAGACAGAGATAGTGAGAGAGAGCACAAGTGGGGAGGACAGGGAGCAGCAGGCTCCCCACAGACCAAGGAGCCCGATGCAGGACTCGATCCCAGGACCTCGGGATCATGACCTGAGCCAAAGGCAACTCAACCGATTAAGCCACCCAGGCACCCTTGAAAATCACTTTTAAAACACAATGGACAAACTGATACAACATGGGAACTACATTATTTGGGGTGGGGATAATTCTAGGCAGAATGGTGGGAGCAAAATTAAAGAAATACCAAATGGTCAGGAGAGATCAGAAATTACAGGGTCTCAGTTCAACTTAGCCAAGCAAGGAATGAGGTGAGTAATGACATGAGCAAGCAGCATACCAGGTGAAATTAGGGCTGGAGTTGAGAAGCTGAGCAGATGACATACACTTAAGCTCGAACAGCACATTGTGTGATTTATGTTTTAGAAACTATAGCCCAGTACTTTACAAGGAAACATTCTGCAATAAAGGGAATAATCTATACGGACATGTGTGTGTCCCTATACTGTAGCCACTATAGATAGTGAGCATTTATTTTATTTTTTTAAAGATTTTATTTATTTGACACACAGAGAGAGAGAGAGAGAGAGAGAGAGAGAGAGCACAAGCAAGGGGAACGACAGGCAGAGGGAGAAGCAGGCTCCCCGCAGAGCAGGGAGCCCAATGCAGGACTCAATCTCAGGACCCTGACTGAGCCACCCAGTTGCCCCGATACCGATCATTTAAAATGTGGTTAGTACATCTGAGGAACTAAAACTGTAATTGTTTATTTAATTTAAATGAACTACTACAGAATTTTACCATATACAGTGACCAGAATTTAAATAAAAAATTGAAATAAATTTTTTAAAAAAGTAGCTCTCACTAGTAATGCTTGAACATCTCTGCCTTTCAGGGAACTAAAATATTACAAATAAGACTATAGGTCTGCTGTGTCTCCCCCCCCCACGCCCACCCCACAACCCCATGCAAAGCACTATGGACAATTTGGTATGTATCCTTATACTAAGTTTCTCGGTCCACTCATACACTCCTGTGTATGGGTGCTTAAAATGCAGATTTCACACCACAGCCCACTATTAGTAAACTCAACAAACTATAAGAAAGGCTAGCCAATTTCTTTTTTTTTAAGATTTTATTTATTTGGCAGAGAGAGACACAGAGCAAGAGGGAACACAAGCAGGGGGAGTGGGAGAGGGAGAAGCAGGCTTCCCGGTGAGCAGAGAGCCCGATGCGGGGCTCGATCCCAGGACTCTGGGATCATGACCTGTGCCGAAGGCAGCCACTTAACGACTGAGCCACCCAGGTGCCCCAAAAGGTTAGCCAATTTCTAGGGGGAGCCTGGCTGGCTCAGCTGGTGGAGCATGTGACTCTCGATCTCAGGTTGGTAAATTCTATCTCCATGTTAGGTGGAGAGAGTACTTAAAAATAAAATCTTGGCGGACATTGGGGAGGTTATGTGCTATGTAAATGCTGTGAATTGTGTAAGACTGATGAATCACAGACCTGTACCCCTGAAACAAATAATACATTATATGTTAACAATAAATAAATAAAATAAATAAAAATAAAATCTTGGGGCACTTATGTGGCTCAGTTGGTTAAGTGGCTGCCTGCTCGGGTCATGATCCCAGTGTCCTGGGATCAAGCCCCACATCAGGCTCCCTACTCAGCACAGGGGCCACTTCTGCCTCTCCCTCTGCCTGCCGCTCTGCTTACTTGTGCTGTCAAATATAAAAATAAAATCTTAAAGAAAAAAATAAATAAAATAAAATCTTAAAAAGGTTAGCCAATTTCCAGAAGAAAATCTCATCTAAAACCCTCAATTTCCCAAACTAAACACTGACCCTCCAAACAGGATTTCCTACAAGAAGAAACCTGAAAAGACCAATTACCGTGATGGTTCCTGGAGCGGACTCTGATGGACTCACAGAGCTTTGGTATGCAATTCTGTTATGCACAGAACTCTGGTCATAGGAGGAAGACGTTACTGGACTAGTGGAGCTCAGTGATGAGCTGGTCAGACTGGAGGAGGTAATAACTGAAGTTGTATAGGTGGAGTTCTGTACTGCACTGGTCACTGGTAGAGAGGTACTCAAAGAATCACTAGAAAGAATAAAAAGATTTAGACATAACTTTGTGTCACTTTACATGGGTTCATCAAGAACTATTTCATCACTTTACTGCCATACTATAAATTAAATAAACATGTCTGTACCTACACATTTGTACTACTGCGTTCTTTAACGGTATTAAAAGGATGCATATTCAAAACACCCCTCCACTCCCAATCAGACCCACCTAATTTAAATGACAGGTAGAAGACATCTTTAAGAATCCTTAAGACTCTGTAAGGAATCCAGAAGTCTGAAACCACTTTTTTTTTTTTTAAAGATTTTATTTATTTATTTATTTGACAGAGAGAGAGAGAGAAAGAGCACAAGCAGGGGGAGTGGGAGAGGGAGAAGCAGGCTCCCCGCTGGGCAGACAGCCTGATGCGGCACTCGATCCCAAGACCCTGGGATCATGACCTGAGCTGAAGGCAGACGCTTAACTGACTGAGCCACCCAGGTGCCACTGAAACCATTTTTAGAAAGAGCAAATATCAGCTTTTAGTTCTGGGCAGTAAAAAAATAAAATCTAAAATCTGGGATTCTCTACTTATGAAACATTCCACTGAAGGAAAATACGTGTTGGCAAAGATGTACAAGAACTGCATCCCTCAGAGATTACTGGTAGGAAGGTAAAATGCTACAGCCACTATGAAAAAAGTTTCCTGGTTCCTCAAATGTTAATTTAAGGGTTATCACAGGACCAGCAATTACTAGGTCTATATCCAGAAGAACTGAAAGGACAGAAAATTTGTAAATGAAATGTTCATAGCACCATGATTCTTAATACCCAAAAAGTGGAAACAAGCCAAATGTCCATCAACTAATGAACAGATAAAAAACAATGTGATATATCTACACAATGAAATACTATTCGGAAATAAAATGCATACAAGCTACAAATGGATGAAAGAAGTCAGACACAAAAGACCACATACTGCATGATTCTTGCTTTATGAAATATTGGAATAGGCAAATCCAGAGACAGAGGATTAGCTGCCAGAGGATGAGGGGTGGCGGAAATTGCGAGTGACTGCTAACAAGCACAGGGTTTCTTTTTACTGTGATGGAAGAAAAGTTCAGGAATTAGATACTAGTCATGGGTGCACAAACTTACCACCACAGGGTGTATTGTCTCCACCAGGTGATTTCTTAGGCTCTATTTTGTTTTACTTTGCCAACAAAGGGCTTAGTTCAGTCAAAGCCAGAGAAATAAGAAGTTGTTTACCTTAAAGACTTCGAATACAAGCTGATGGGAATCTGGTTACTATTTTCACTGCTTGCAGCTGATCCAAATTCAGAGAGAGAAGGTTCTGATCCAAATTCCAAGGCGCCAAACTGAACATTTAATCCTGTGACATCTGCTGAACCAGGCATTTCCACTGCAGAAGCTGGGATCTGAAAAACAGAGCCATCACATCAGGAACAGAGATCACAGATTCCACGTCCCAGAGGCCTCTAACAGAGCCAAATGAGTACTGGCTTCCCAAAGCGCTACTGGCACCCTGGAGGAACAAGGTGCAAGACATCCGAAACAAGGAAAAAGGCATAGGATATTTCAAAAAAGGAAGAGAAAAGAAAAATGAGAAGTTAACAGCAGAATGGTCAGTGCCACCAACTGCTTCTTAGAGCAGAGGCCAAAGAAATGGGGGCAGGCTGGGTGGTGGTGGGTGAGGTAAGGGAGGAGAGCAGGCCATCTCTGAAAGCATTATCTAGTCAAGGAACCACTTATTCTCTATCTACGAGACGTAGGTAAATATACAAGACCAGCAAATTCTCTGACCCAGATCCTGTAATTTCAATGAACAGTCTCTGTCTCCAACACAAAACCATTCCCTCTCATCCTGGCCCAGCCACTCAGAAATGGCCAACTCCTCATTAAGCAGTAAGCTATGTGCTTGAAAAAAAATACCATGTCACCGTTTCTGAGCCTTACTAACCCAACCCTTGAGCTAAATGTTGAAATACATCCACCATTGGGCCTGTGACTTCTGGATGGAGAACACACCTTAGAAGCTGGAGGTATCCGCCGCTTCGGTAGTTTGATGTGTTTAGACTGTGGTTGGTGGGTAGTCACAGCAATGTTTTCTACAGTCATGCTGGGAAGCTGCAAAAGTTTGTTCACAGTGGAGGTACTGTCTCTGGGTGTTGACTCTCGCAGTTTTACCTGGGAAGGAAAGGACTCCAACCCAGGAGGAGGAACAGCAACGGCCTGAGTGTGGTGCTGCTGTCGCTGGCTCAATTGACTAAGAACCGGGGATGGTTCAGGCTGAGATTTGAAGTCTATGAAATATGTAAAGGGGGAGGGAGGGAAAGTAAGCAACAATCAATTATTTAGGAACGTGGGCTTAGAGCTCCATCTTCCAGTATGACTGAGAGTGAAAGGTTGTAGTTACCACTTGTTTCTCCCAACAATCTTCTACGTGAGTCCCCTAAGTTGGGGGTGTGTGTGATCTATTATAACTGGTATATGATAAATGGAAAAGGATGCCTGAATGGGTTTATAAGTAATTTCTTTTGCAGAGAGGAGACATAGTTTACATTAAGACATATGGAGTGGGTAAAAGAGCATGGAGTTGCTACACATTTGGCCTTTAGCTAAGAGAGAATTATATTTTTGTTGCTTTATGGATTTCTTAACAAAACTGTTAAAAATTACTGTTTTTCAGTAACTAATGTGATATTACAAAATCCAAAAGGTAGAAAAACGTATATGAGGACTATAAATCACCCTTGCAACCCTATCTCCAGATTCACTCCAGAGGCAGACATTGTACCCAGTTTCTTGAATATCTTCAGAGATACTGTCTCAAAACACACATACACAGACACACACACATTCTATATATATAGCTTCCTCACAAACCATTTGGTTTTCAAAAATTGTTCCATATTAACATGTGAAGAGCTACTTCATTTTTATGGCCACATAGTAATCCAGAGTACAGAGGCATTGATTTTTAAAACCAGCACTGTATTAACAGGCTTTTAGTTTTTCCAATATCTTGCTAAGAAAAACAATGCTGCAATGAATGTATCTTTGTGTAAGACATTTTGCTCAAGTGCAAATATACATGTGGGATCAACAACTAGAATAGAGTTACTGGTTCAAAGAACAACTCTATTTTAAATTTTGACAAACACTTCAAAATTCTTTCAGTAGATAGAACACACTCTTTTTAATATGCTGTGATACCAATAACTTTTATCCTTCCTAACCTGAATGATGGAAAATGGCATAAAAGGTGCAATTTAAAATGATATAAATTCAATGAGGCATCATTTCATATACTCTAGTATTCTTTGCCTAGGAACTCTGATAATACCTCTTTGACCATTTTTTTCCCTTGGTTTAGTCTCCTTTGTTTTTAGTTACTCTTTTTTATAAAGGAAGCTAGCCCTTTATCTACATGATTTTCAAATCATAAAGAAGTGGTAAATTTTTTCTGGCAAAGAGCCAGGTAGTATATATTTTAGGCTTTGAAGGCCATCTGTTAGCAACTACTCAACGCTCCCTTTGTAGATTGAAACCAGTTATAAGACAATACATAATGAATGGTCACGGCTATGTTTCAATAAAACGGTATTTACAAAAACAGGTGACAAATCCAGTCGAAGATTTGCCAACCCATGACTTGGTATATTTCCATCTTAGATGAGTCTATTTTTGGACTTTATATTAGAGGCATACATAAAAAAGATAGGATTTATAAAGAATATAGAAAGAGCATGTACAAATCTAAAAATTCTTATTGCCCACTGCAGTGGGTCTGCAGAAAAAGGGTAACATAGGACTACAATTAGTATCAGAAATGCCACCTTGCTAAATTGGCTCTTGGCCGGTGTCTGCGAACACAGAATTTTAATATATTCTAGGCAAAGGATGCCAAGCACTCTTCTTATCAGATAAAAATGACTCTCTACACCTTTAATGTTTGTACAATGTGGTTTACGGTGAACACTTGCTTTCCTACTGGGAATCTGGAATATTGTTATGTACTAGGCAGAGGGTACTTATGTATAACCACCTCCCCAATAAAAAACTTTGAGTATTAAGGCTCTAATGAATTTCCTTGGTAGACAGCACTCCAAATTTGGGAGTAGTCTCAGATACTTCCTTAACAACAAACTATTTCTTTCAGGATAGAAACGTGATTCCATGTCTTTTAATTAGCCCTAAACATAAACATGCCTAGGAAACCGACCCCATGGTTAATAACCCTCTGCTGTTCCTTAATACAGTGTGGTGTGTGTATGTTGGTGGAAAATGGGTGTTTTAATGTCACAAAATCTTTGGGAGTATAGTTTAGAAAACATCCAACTTACATATGGTGCCTTTATATTATAAACCACTGACAATAAGGCTGGCACAAATCATGATAGATACATACAAACATTAAAATGAGAAAGCAACCCAGAGGGTGTGATTTAAAATTCCACACCCCAACTCTGTCCCCACAATATTATAATAGAGCTTAGAAAATTCTGTCCAGGCATTTACTCAAAGTGTTATTTCCTTATATTTGTAGGGCTTTACCATGCTTTGGAATGTCTCTTCAAGATATGTACTACTACCACTACCACTACTGATAACAACAAATAAATGCAAGTATTTATATGGTACAAAGCTATCTGATTTAATTCACAAACACCACAGAAATTCTATTAAAAAGAAACCTCTCTGGACAAATTCCACATTACTGTTCACAAGTCAACACACTCTGGTAATGTTTAGCATGTCCTCACTAGGGGCTAACCACCACAGAAAATGTATACTTACCAAAATGACTAAGGACTGAGGACTGGGAAGTTGAGGGCTTGAGGTCCCAAGAAGAAATGGTTGTGGGGGGACTCGTACTATTCTGCTGTGAACTTGGGGTAGTGGTAAACTGGCCCAAACTTGGAGCTTTCAATTGGTCCAAAATCTGGGAGCTGGTGATGTTTGCCATTTTGGAAGGTGCAAGCTCTCCAAATCCTGAACCAAGGACGGATGACTTTAAAAGGGAAAAAAAAAAAAAGCAAAAAACACTCAGCAATACAAATCTCTACTCCAGAATTTAAACACATCAAGTATTTTCATAAGAACTTCAAAAACTATAACCTAGAACATCTGAATCAATAAGACTCACCTGAGAAGATCCTACACGAAAATATTACTATACAACAAATTCTGATTAAATCCAGCAATCCTTCTGGATTCTGATATAAGAAGTTAAAGGGAAGGAGAATATTCTCCCTGGATATTAAGACATTGCTTTCTTTTTGGGGCTCAGTTGGTTAAGCCACTGCCTTCCGCTCAGGTCATGATCCCAGGGTCCTGCGGTTGAGCCCCGTGTCGTCATTGGGCTCCTCGCTTAGCAGGGAGTCTCCTTCTCCCTCTGCTCATCCACCCCCGAATCGTGCTCACTCTCTCACAAATAAAATCTTTTTTCTTTTAAGATTTTATTTATTTATTTGACAGAGAGAGAGTGAGCACAAGTAGGGGGAGCAGTGGGCAGAGGGAGAGGGAGAAGCAGGCTCCCTGATGAGCAGGGAGCCCGACGCAGGGCTCAATCCCAGGACCCCAGGATCATGACCTGAACTGAAGGCAGCCGCTTAACTGACTGAGCCTGCCAGGCGCCCCATCAAATAAATAAAATCTTAAAAAACAAAAAGACACTGCTTTCTTTTTAAAAGTGATGTCACAGATTCACAAACAAAATACTACTGGTTTTTTATAAAAATACCATGAATTCAATGACAAACACAAGCTTGAGAAACAAAAATACAGTATTTTCTTAATGTATGCAACAACAGCAATCATGTTTATAAGTTTGATCGGTGAATGGCTCAGCAATGTCATCCTACAAAATTAACTGCAGGTTCGAGCACTTATTTAAAAAGTTAATATTCTAAAATCAGATAATGATTTACACATGAGGTATCTTGTGTATTGAGCCGATACCCTGGGCACCACTGCATTTATTTCAAGTTGTTTTGATGACTAAGAATACCAAATACGCTCCTTAAGTATACAAAAGAAAATGTTACACCTCCTCCACCTATCCTGTCAGGTCAGATACCAAGAGCCAATGAGAATGATACATGTAAAAAAATGAAACTGGACCACTTTCTAACACCATACACAAAAATAAACTCAAAATGGATTAAAGACCTAAATGTGAAACCTGAAACCACAAAAGTCCTAGAGAGAGCATAGGCTGTGTAATTTCTTTCACATCAGCTAGAGCAGTATTTTTCTAGATATGTCACCTAAGGAAAGGGAAACAAAAGCAAAAATAAAGTATTGGGACTACATCAAAATTAAAAACAAAAAAACAAAAACAGGACCCAAGGAGAATGAAAGCCTTGGCTAGTGAACACAGTGATAGATCAACTGCATTTTTACCTACCAAGATCCTTCAGTTTCTGAAAAGATATTTATCAAAAAATAACTTTAAGGGCACCTGGGTGGCTCAGTCAGTTAAGCATCTGCTTTCGGCTCAGGTCATGATCGCGGAGTCCCAGGATCGAGTCCTGAATCAGGCTCCCCGCTCAGTGGGGAAAATACTTCTCCTTCTGCCCCACCCCATTCTCATGCTTTCTGTCTCACTCTCTCAAATAAATAAATAAAATCTAAAAAACAAAACTTTTTGAAACCATTTAAAAGGTCAAAAACAGAAATGACTTGCATTCTCTTAAGAGATCAGATACAGAAAGTTGAAATAATTATTTCTGTTAACAATATCCAAAGGCATGTTGTTTTAAGGAAATTCAAATTCTCCAATCTGAGCAAAACATTAGGTTGTAAGTAGTTATGGCACATCAATCACAGAATCTGCTAACATTATTTATCACTACTCCAGAACCCTTCCTCATACTGTCCAAACACCTGCTCTTATGCTGCTACAAATGCACCAAAATCCTGTTCAAGCCCCCTTTTCAGTAAAGGCTTCCACAACGATACTTCTATTCTTCTGATCTCTATCCTGCATCAGCTAGTATCATCAAATGCATTTTCTGCATGCTTCGCAACACAATGAAATCACTGAATCAAGGACTAGCGCTTTGCTTCATGTTGATTTACCACAGGACTTCTCAATTTCACCTACATTTCAATCAATGGGGGCTTTAACAACGTGTGTATTGATACACCAATATCCATGGACTCACATATACACAAACATACACAAGTGCCCAACTTGCAATTCCAAGATTCTGACTTATTTGGTCTATGTGGACTCTGGCATTATTTTATTATTATTATTACTGTTGTTAATTTACTCAAGTTCCCCACTGATTATGAAAGTACAGTAGGTTGAGCACCACTGTTGTAATACGCTAAACAGTATCTGTTCCAGTTTCTCAAGGTGTTGTTCATTATCAAAGGCAACACATCCGAAGGCACTGTTGGAAAAAAACAAAACAAAACAAAACAAAAACCCTCCTCGTGTCCTACCTATGTTCTGAGCACCCTGGCTAAGATTCCAGATAGAAAGGCAGAAGAGGAAAGGACAGGAACGGTTCAATCAAAATGTGAGGGTACTGGGGTGTCTGGCTGGCTCAGTGGGTGGAACGTGCAGCACTTGAGCTCAGGGTTATAAGTTTGAGCCCCACACTGGGTGTAGAGATTACTTAAAAAAAAATTAAAAAACAAAATAAAAAACAAAGCTTGAGGGTATTATTAGACCTTACTACCCTCTCAAAACAGAGACACCGTGGGCTGTCCTACTTCAAGCACTGACACCCTCTCATACATAATCATTAATGACACTAAAAATGCCAAGTTACCAAGCCAGTTATGACATGATGTGTCTGTGCAGAGTATAAGCCAGCAATGAAAAGTTTACATATTTCATTCTCCATTTTATTAGGGTTCAGCAAATGATTTTTGAGTCGACTAGGGGGAAAAGATAGTATCATATTCATAAAAATTCTGTTTCTCAACCATAGATTTCAGGTAAAACACAGCAAATGAACCAATAATTACCACTAGTGAAAGCTGTGGATCTGTATATGGAGGTATTCCAACCCCTCCCCCCACCCCCACTGCCAACTGAGAACTGCCTACAGTTGGGCCTTCAGTTCACCATTCTGCAGCTACATTGCTTGACACTATGCTCTAAGATTTTATTCCCATCAGCCTATCTTCATACCCTTCTCTACCAGTTCCTGGAGTCCTTTCTGTTAGGAGCTAAATTCTCATGGGAAGTTAAAGCCAGATATGCAAGCAGCAGGTGCCCCTGTTTTAATGAAAACACATCCATGTTATAAGGGCCTCCACTAAAGTGGCATGTTAAGAAAAAGTACACTAATTTTACAAATAACAAAACAAGAATTGCCAAAAATATAAGCACCTAGGCAGACTTGGAAAGAACTGTTTTAGCATGATTTTAGCAAGCTTTTTCTGACAAACATTTGCATTTAACTAAATTGGAAAACAAATGAAAATTTTAATGTCATAAGTACAGACTTTCAAACAAAATCCAAGATAAAAATTATTAATAAGAAGGATGCCTCAGTGATTACGACTTAAGATTTCAACGAATCATAAAGAAGTATTTTTTATCTTTGTCCAGAAAACTCAGAGTAGCTGAATTCCACATGGCATCATCAGATATGTGCTTGGAAATTATCACATCATTGTTTTCTGGACTGAAATCTACTGTAGATATGTTTATATTTAGAAAATAATTATAAGGCATGTATCATTCTAGAATACATTTGTTTACGGGTACATTCCTTCAAATCCCATACTAAAATAAAAGCGAGTTACCAGACTCTGAGGAGAATAGGAGTTGACAGCAGTGGAGCTGCCAGTCCCTGGTGCCATCTGATTGTTGTGCTGAGAATTTGTGAAGACAAGGGCTTGACCAAAGCCCTGCTGTTGGGAAGTCTCAAAGGAGTTGACTTCTGAGGCTTGACTGGGAGGAACAGGCTTCTGGAGCAAGGCTACCAGATCAATGCTAAGCAGACAAAAAGCAAATGAGGAATGAGTCAAAAGCAAATCTTATCAATAATGAATTTGAGAAGTGAATCAATACAGAACCAATTCATGTTAAAAAATAATCTAGGGCGCCTGGGTGGCTCAGTTGGTTGGGTGACTGCCTTCGGCTCGGGTCATGATCCCGGAGTCCCGGGGTCTAGTCCCGCATCGGGCTCCCTGCTCGTCAGGGAGCCTTCTTCTCCCTCTGACCCTCCCACCATGTACTCTCTCTCTTTCTCACTCTCTCAAATAAATAAATAAATCTTTAAAAAATAATAATAATAATCTAAATGAGGAAAATCTTTGTGGAAACTGGAGTTTAAAGGAGCCAAGAGGACAGCATTAACTAAAAAAAAACAAAACAAAAAACAAAAAACAACATACAAAGCCACAGAGACTAAAGCAGGGCTTGGCAGAGAAGAGAAATGAAAAGGTGCATCAAGACAGTTCCACAGAAATAGCACAATAACAACTGATTTGAAAACCTGGAGCAAATAAGTAAATAAACAATTTTCTACAGTTTGGCTTATTTTCTGTAAAATATTTTTCCCCATTCATTACTCAGAACCAATGTTTCTTAAACTTGCCTCAAGGAAAGTGAATTCCTATTGTGGGAGAATGAGAACCACAGTCATGGTAGACAATTCAAGCAGTTTCCCATTTATCATAAATATCCCTGTGAGTTCTATATTCTAAGCTATAAGTTTATATAAATCTCCAATAATTTTCTCTCTTAAATATTCAAGAAGGTGCGCCTGGGTGGCTCAGTTGGTTAAGGGTCTGCCTTCAGCTCAGGTAGAATCGAGTCCACGTCAAGCCTGCTTCTCCCTCTCCCTGCCACTCCCCCTACTTGTGCACACTCGCTCGCTCGTTCTCTCTGTCAAATGAATAAAAAACAAAAATCTTAAAAAAAAATACTGAGAAAAAATGCGCAAAATATAAAAAATGCACAAATACTCTGTTAACTAAAACTCTTGTAATGTCCCCAGAAGAAGAGATATTCCAACCTGAGAATCATGGCCTGAAAACCTAAAAGCATGAGGAAGAACTACTCTTCTAGATCTATACTACCTGACATGTGAGTGAGCTACTAACTCTTCTCCACAGAACCTGCAAGGTGCTCAAGATTAACTAATATGGTAATTTGCTCCATTAAACCCTCTCAAAGGCCAGTTTCCAGTCAGTTTTCCTGTCTGAAATGTTCACCATGCAGGTGAGGCAGATTCTGGAAGGTCAAATAATTCATGGCACACTATTAACTGATAAAGAGTGAAGTTCCTAGGCCTGACTTCCTCTCCTTATGTACTACCCACTCTTACTTTCCCATAACCAGGTTAAAGTCCCAGACTAGTATTTTGGATCCCGAGGTAATTGTTCTAACTTATGATATCCTAACTCCAGGAGTATAAATCCAGAGTAGTTATATTACATATAACCTATCTCAAAAGCTACCATTATCAGAAAAAACACAGGACGTTCTATTCTAAAAGACTGACAGGATATTCACCTAAAAACACTACAGCACTGTCTTCTGAAAAATAACCATTAAAGTCTATTTCTTTTTTCTTTTTTTTTTTTTTGAAAAATGCCCTCCCATGCCCAATTGTGACCTCTGATCCCATCCTTTCCCTCCTGTTTCAGTGAGTAGGGGAGGGGACATATTTTTTTTTTTAAATGAAAATGATCCTATGAAATTGAGTAATGAATACAATAAGGAAGTTATATCCACTTAATAAATTATAAAACCTTTGTTCATTTTTATTTCCCTATAATGAAGTCTTATAACCATCTCATTTAGCAGGAAATTAAGCATGTCAGGTTCAAAATTTCCTTCAATTCTCAGGGGCCATACATAGAAAGGCTTTCATCCTCCTAGATCATTGCATTTTGAAACCATAATCAAAGGTTTTTTGAGTTATTATAGAAACCAGGATGTAAATAAACGCTTTTCAAGAATTCAGTACTGGGGGCGCCTGGGTGGCTCAATTGTTAAGCGTCTGCCTTCGGCTCAGGTCATGATCTCAGGGTCCTGGGATGGAGCCCCGCATTGGGCTCCCTGCTCCATGGGAAGCCTGCTTCTCCCTCTTCCACTCCCCTCGTTTGTATTCCCTCTCTTGCTGTGTCTCTCTCTGTTAAATAAATAAAATCTTAAAAAAAAAAAAGAATTCAGTTCTGTACATACCAATAATGTTTCTATTTTTCTGAAAATTCCTTCCTTTTCTGTAATCTAAGAGACTAGATGAAAACTAGTAGAGCCCACAGTCGTTAAGCATCTGCCTTTGGCTCAGGTCATGACCCCAGGGTCCTGGCATCGAGCCCCGGATCGGGCTCCCTGCTCCGGGGGGGGAAGCCTGCTTCTCCCTCTCCCACTCCCCCTGCTTGTGTTCCCTCTCTCGCTGTCTCTCTCACTCTCTCTCTCTCTCTGTCAAATAAATAAAAATCTTAAAACAACAACAACAAAAAACTAGTACAGCCCATATAAAATAAGAAGTTTGTATTAGCCTTAGAAGATCTAAATAAATGGTACTATATATAGAAACCAAAGGATATTTGGTATTAGATTTATCTGTCAAAAAACAATATATTCATAAAAGTAAAGAAAAACCACTAAGTTTAAAATTATTAAATAAGCTTAATATTACTAAGTCAGCCTGGCTGGCTCAGTCAGTGGAGCCTGCAACTCTTGATCTTGGGGTTGTGAGTTTGAGCCCCACATTGGGTATTACTTTAAAAAAAAAAGTCTTTAGGGGCGTCTGGGTGGCTCAGTCGGTTAAGCAGCTGCCTTCGGCTCAGGTCATGATCCCAGAGTCCTGGGATCGAGCCCCACATCGGGCTCCCTGCTCGGCAGAGAGCCTGCTTCTCCCTCTCCCTCTGTCTGCTGCTCTCCCTACTTGTGTTCTCTATCTCTGTTAAATAAATAAATAAAAATCTTTAAAAAAAAGTCTTTAAAAATAAGTTAAATAAAATAGGTTTAACATAATATCTATCACAAATGATAACATATCAGAAACATAATCGCTATTTTAATTCATCAGAGAATATAATAAATTAGAAAATGATGGAGGCTCCGTCAGCTCACAAAGAAGGTTAGGGATAAAAAAAATCTTAGAAGGGAAAAAGGTAAAAACAGAAAGAGATTCAAGCAAAGGAAAAAAATAGAGACCTAAGACCCAAAACAAATTTCCTGAGCAAGAAATTTACATTATGCTTTGAACAACAAACAAAAGGTTAAAGAAATTGTTTACCTTTGCCCAGGTGTGACATGATTCTCTGCTGGAACAGCTGAAGCAGTGAAGACCTTTGTTTCAGAAAGCTGTTTGGAAAGGAATAAAAAAAATACTTTGCTTTTATTTTACAGAACATAACACCAAAAATGTATCAAATTCCTGACAATTTTAGTCACCAGTACTCTTATTATACTTCACCCAAAAGTAGTCTAAAAGAAAGGAACTACATTAAGTGATCATGACAAGTAAGATTCTTCAAGTGAAGGCAATTTTAGGTTGGGAAACCCATAAAAAGGATTTCACATCAGGAAAAGAATGAAGTTAAGTCAGACGAGGGTTCAAGTCCTAGTCACACTACTCTATTAGACATTACACAAAATGAGAATACCACTAAAACCACCACAAATGCCAAACATTTGAAAAAGGGCAAAAAAAATTGACACTTTCTTTCCCCCAAAACAGATAGTTTCAATATTTTATTAGTAATCTGTGTTTCTTTTTTATTAAGTCATAGGTTTCCCTGTCTTTGTATAAAAACAACTTTGTTGAGGTTATATCACATTCAATAATCTGAATATGCTCAAACCGAATACCTGAAGTTTTGTCATATGAATATGCCCATGAAATCATCACAAAATCAAGACAATGAACATACTACCCAAAAGTTTGCTCCAGTCCCTATGTAATCAATCCCACCTACCACTTACCTTAGTCCCCACAAAACCACCAATGTGTTTTCTGTCACTATAGATAAGTGTTGTAATTTCTAGAATTTTAAGTGGAATTTTAAAATATGCAAATTTTTTTGTCTGGCTTTGTTCAGTGAATACAATTATTTTAGATTTATACATATGCTCTAAATGCCCTTTTAAAGTTTTAAGGTGCCCAGGATAAAATTTTTTGAAACCTCAACTCACATTATTGAAAGGTAGGCTCTTTTCATATTTTCAAAGCAAAGTATGGGCTATTAAAGGCTGAAGAATGTTGACCTAATGAGATAATGTCAGAAATCGCAGAAAATTCTTTTCAAAAAGACTGCTATAATACTTATCAACTCTTAACAGTCTCAGAACTCTGAAACACTGTATAAAAATCAGGTTGACTCACATATTAATATTCTGGCAGGGACAGAGCAGACAGTACGTGCTCATTTTCTATAAAAACAAATAAAATGTGCTGAATAGATTGCTGTTTCAACAAGAAGGGCTTTCACTGCACCCTGTTCCAAGGTAGTATCTTATAGAGCTCCCAAAGAATCCATTTTTGCCTTAACTCTATTTAATATGTAAGATTCTATAAGACAAAGAGAAAAGCAATAAAGGAGTAACTGAAAAGCAATGGTAGAGTAGATCCAAAGCCACAAAAATATTAATCAGTTCAAAGCAAATGAGAACCACATTAATTACTGACATCCTATTTAACCCGGGCAGGATAAAGAAAATTAAATGGTTTCCTCCTTCTCTACTGTCTAAAAAAAGGAGAGGGGCAATTTCTGGCTCAGTCAGTAAAGCATGTGACTCTTGATCTCAGGGTCATGAGTTCAAGCCTCAAGAGTGTAGAAGCTCCTTAAAAATAGAATCTTGGGGAAAGGGCAGAGGGTCTGAAACATGGCGGACGACGTGGACCAGCAGCAATCTACCAACACCATAGAAGAGCCCCTGGATTTCATCAGGTTCAGCCTGGATGAGCGAATTTATGTGAAAATGAGAAATGACAGAGAGCTTCAAGGCAGATTACATGCTTATGATCAGCATTTAAATATGATATTGGGAGATGTGGAAGAAACTGTGACTACTATAGAAATTGATGAGGAAACACATGAAGAGATACATAAATCAACAAAACGGAATATTCCAATGCTTTTTGTCCAGGGAGATGGTGTTGTACTAGTTGCCCTTCCATTAAGAGTTGGCTGAAACAAAGAATTTATCATGTATGGAATATAGAAGCTTTTGTAAGATTGCCTCTTTAAATGTAGAAGACATTCAAAAGAGAAACCTGCGTAAATTTTGATATTAAGAAATGACCAAGGATTCTTCCACTCCTGAAATGAGTTGATTTGCAGATAACTAAAAAATTCTTAAGCTAAAGGGCATTTTAATTTTTTTCCAACCCTTTCAATAAATGTGATCACCAAGATGCAGAATTCTTTTTTTCAGGAATTGATTTGTTCTGTTTTCTCAATTTCTGATTTTTTTCCTTTAAATTTGTTTCCTTTTTTGATTAAAAAAATAAAAATAAAATCTTAAAAAAATTATGTAAAAAGTAAGCATTCTCAGATTTCAAATGACACACACCATATTTTAAAATTTGTGAAAAGAAAAATAACAGAAGAAAATACATAAAAATTATTTAAAGTGGCTGCCCTTAGGGGCAGCCTGGCTAGCTCAGTCAGTACAGCATGCAACTCTTTGATCTCGTGGTTGTAGGTTCGAGCCCTATGCTGAATGCAGAAATTAATTATGGAGAAATTAAAGGGGAAAAAAGGAGTGGGGAGGGAACGGTTAGTAGTTATTGCTGTTTTTGTTGACTTTTTTTTTTTTTAAGATTTACTTATTTATTTGAGAGACAAAGTATGGGGGTCAGGGGGTGGGGGGTGAGAATCTCAAGCAGACACCCTGCTGAACGTGGAGTCCGATGTGGGGCTCGATCTCACCACCCTGAGATCATGAACTGAGCCAAAACTAAGAGTCAGACACAATCAACTGAACCGCCCAGGTGCTCCAATAGTTACTGTTCTAAGCTCTACAAGGAATTTTCAATTTGCACCATGATTACTCATGGATCAATCACCATTATTTTATATAATTTCAGAAACGTTTTAAATTTTTTTTGATAATTTCTGACAAAAAAACATCCAAATTTCCTATCCTAATTCTTTTCACTAATTACAAATTATACTATGATATAATATGGGTTCTCCAGAACATTAATCTCTATGGGTGTACATTTGAACTGCTTGTTAACAACATTCATTGAAAAACCTCATCTGACCCACAGAACCATTAACAGAAAGTTAGGCAGGACAACTGTTATGATATTCATTACACTGATAGAAAAGAGAAGGCTCAGTAAGGAAAGATGCATCACTCAAAGTCAACAGGTCAGCTCAGCTACAATTTGAATAAAGGCCTTTTTCATTTTTTTTTAAAGATTTTATTTTTATTTATTTGAGGGGGAGAGAAGGAGAGATAGAGAGCAAGCAAGAGCACAAGGGAGGGGGCGGGAGAAGCAGACTCCTCGCTGAGCAAGGAACCCGATGCAGAGGTCAATCCCAGGATGCTAGGATCATGACAGGAGTTGAAGGCAGCCGCTTAACCAACTGAGCACCCAGGCACCCCATGGTCTTTTGCATTCTGATCCCCTGCTGATTTTCTAACCTGCCTGTTGACCCACACAGGAGCGAAAGAGATCTAAAGCTTCTAGCACTGGGAATATTTTTTCCCCCAACAAACTCTTAGCAAAAATTCTAGTAACAAACATATTTAAAAGTTGGACAAGTGCCCACAGGCTGCTCACTCTGTCTTCATCACTGGTACCCATCCCTCCACTGATTCAAGTAACCACCCATCTAGTCCAGCATCTTCATATTACCAGTACCACAGAGCCTGATGACATCATACCCCAAAGATTTATGGTTAGTATATGGCAGAAGTGAATATATACCTTAAATCTCAATCAAATGAGCATCTCTATTGTCTTTCTTCCTCATACTCTACCCAGTTTGCTCACTAACAAACAAGATATAATACTGCTTCACAGGAGGACAAGGGTGGCATTACTGTAGTTCATTTCTTTAAAAATATACCAGTAGGGGCGCCTGGCTGGCTCAGTACTTTAAGCATCTGACTTCCGCTCAGGTCATGAACTCAGGGTCCTGGGAGTTTGCTTGTCCCTCTCCCTGTGCCCCTTTGTTTGTGCTCTCTCAAAAAAAATTAAAATCTTTAAAATACATATACTTACAAAATAATACATTAAAAATATACTTGTTAAAACAGAATGGTAAAGGAGGGCGGAAATCTCAAGAAAAAATTTTCAAAGTCTGGGTCACTTTATGTGATATTAAACGTCAATACTTGCACCTGGCTGGCTGAATTGGTAGAGCATGTAACTCTTGGGTCTTGGGTTCACGAGTTTGAGGCCCATACTGGACATGGAGATTACTTAAAAATTAATAAATTTAAAACCCATCACTTAAATAAATAAAGGTCGATACTTATAACCCCTTTATTCTCTTCTGCACACTGTTCATGTACATACACATGTTCTGGCGCTTGAGAGTCAAAGAGAAAAATGGTACAAAATATGTTATAGGGCTACTTGTTCAGTTATATTTTCTTTTTTAAATATTTTTTTAATCAAAGAATGTCTTATGCTGAGCCCAGAGTTATGGATCAACACTACCAGAGCTAGTGTAGTACACTCAAAAATGTCTATGGAATAAAGGAATATAAAAAGAGCTAGTCTAGTTTTAAAAAGAAGGGGTTGGGCCTAGAACCAGAATCACTTGTTCAGGTTAATTTCAGGTGTGACCCAAACACTGACCGATCTTCACTAATAAAACTGCTATAAAAAATAAACAGGTCAGGGGGCGCCTGGTTGGCTCGGTTGTTAAGCGCCTGCCTTCAGCTCATGTCATGATCTCAGGGTCCTGGGACAAGCCCCGCATCGGGCTCCCTGTTCAGTGTGAAGCCTGCTTCTCCCTCTCCCACTCCCCCTGCTTGTGTTCCCTCTCTCGCTCTCTCTCTGTCAAAGAAATAAATAAAATCTTTAATTAAACAAACAAACAGGTCAGGCAATAGCAGTACTTGGTTATCAGAACAAACAAGGGGCGCCTGGGTGGCTCAGTCAGTTAAGCATCTAACTTTGGCTCAGGTCATGATCCCGGAGTCCTGGGATCAGGGAGGCTGCTTCTCCCTCTCCCTCTGTCCCTCCCCCTGCTTCAGCACTCTCTCTCACTCTCCAATAAATAAAATCTTTAAAAACTTTTAAAAAGAACAAACAAAACAAAAGATAAGCTAAAAAAAAATGATTTCAGTCTTGTTTTACAGTTGGTCATTTTTAAGTGGATGCTTTAAAACCAAGTTTCTTAAAAATCTCAAAACACCAACTTCCTTCTGAGAAGCACTTGCTAAAAAACATGATAATCATAGATGTCTGAAAAGGAGCCATGAACAACTACAAGATGTCTCCAGCTTTCTTCAAGGAATGCATGCCCCAATCAGAAACCAAAAGGAGACGGATCTAATCTGATGCTAAATACTTACATCTTCAGTCCAGTCGTCTGTTGTCCACTCTTCCACAGAATTCTTCCAGGTTCCTGTTGACAATAATCATAGCTTATATCACAAAGCCAAATACTATCTTACTGCAAATAATTCTCTGTTGTATCCTGCACAAGATGTGTCATGTATCTCATTAGTAATTTAGTTTACAATCCAAGAAATATGAAGCTCCTGATCTATTCTCAGTAAAATGTCATGTTCTCATATACCAACTTAGCTAGGTACTATCCACATAAACTCAAAGCAATTTCTCAAACTGATTTTGCATCAGTGTAGATCATATTCAAGCAATTCTGCCATAAGTACGAACATAGCACAAATACACACAATGAGATCTTTATGATATATAAAACTTAGAACAAAATTATGAAGTGGTCTGCCTTGGACCCTAATTTCATGTAGATTACAGAGTTTCTGAATTTATACAAGCATGCTTTTTATAAGATATTTATTCCATTCTATGGTTTTCTAATAGATCCCCAGCAAAGGTTTGTCCTGTTCACATGAAGTATGATGCTATAACTCCTGATTACGTACAAAGGATCTGCTCAAACAATTGTTACAGAACAAACATCTATCAAATAATTAAGTGCTTTAAAAAGAAAACATTTGTGGTGGCATCTGGATGGCTCATTTGGCTAAACCTCTGTCTTCAGCTCAGGTCATGATCCCAGAGTCCTGGGATCAAGCCCCAAGTCGGGCTCCATGCTCAGCAGAGAGTCTGCCTCCCCCTCTCCCTCTGTCCCTTCTCCTACTCCTTTCTCTCTCTCTCACTCTCAAATAAATTAATAAAATCTTTAAAATTTTTTTTAAAGATTAAAAAAAAAAAATTGTGTCCAGAAATGCTGGCTTTAGTATTCAGAGATCCTGTAGAAGTACAGGACCATTATTTTAAACTATACATGCAAATACACACCTAGAGAAAATGGTTTTAAAAGAAAATATACCAAGATATCAACTATAATTACCCCCAGGAAGTAAGACTGTCAATGTTTTCATTCCTTCCAACAGGAAGAAATGAGCTGAGCATCTGACCTACAATGAGGTCTGTGTGTAGAGAGGACAAGGAAGAGAAGGGAACACTCTTGAGAAAAAAAGGCAGGTAACCAGATCTCATCTCCTTGGAATCAGGTCAATAACCTAATAACCAACTGCCTCATAAATAGATGTTATTACCTAGGAGTAGAGTCCTTCTCTATGGAATCTTTTGATTGGATGTCCCTAGTTTAGGCTGGTTATGGCAAACACAGAATTGATGCATTTATGCAGTATGGCTCCCTATAAAATAACACCTACGATATGCTACTACTTGGGAGATTTTTTTTAAACCAGAGAAAACTCCCTGCTGTGAGAAACCTACACACATTACTGGTAGACTTCATCTATTATTGTGGATCACAGGGCATATATATTATAGGAAGGAAGAACAGTAATACAGGCACTCATTGTTCTTCCCTGCCTCTCAACTGCATGTATCCTTGAAATGACTATAAAGATTCACCGAGAAAGATCTAAACTGACAATCTGATCCTTTGTACTGGTTCACTCATCATACTTTTTTTTTTTTAGATTTTATTTATTTGACAGAGAGATAGAGCACAAGTAGGTAGAGAGGCAGGCAGAGGGAGAGGGAGAAGCAGGCTCTCCACTGAGCAGGGAGCCTGATGTGGGACTCGATCCCAGGACCTCGGGATCATAACCTGAGCCAAAGGCAGCCGCTTAACCGACTGAGCCACCCAGGAGCCCCCTCATCATACCTTTTAGTGGTTTCCATAATTTTTCCATAAACATCATAAAACAAATATCCCAAAACATCTCTCTGAATTAAAATATTTTCTTAAAACTAGAAAAAAGTTTTATAGCCTAAGTGAAAAAACAAAACGTGCAATTAGTCCCAGTCGGCAATCAGTACTGAAAACTTGTTCTCTAAGACCTCTGCACAGGATTCTTGGAGATCACCCTGTACACAAAGCTTATAAATGTAAGGCAAGCCATGTACATACTCTCTACTCTTATATTCCTTCTACAATGTGACTTTCTTCTAGGTACTAATAATACATAATCTCCAATCTTTGAATATATCTCCTTCGAAACTTCTGTAAGTAAATTTATAGTTTTAAAAGGACACAATTAGATTAATTTAAAGGATGGACAGTACACACTGTTCTTGGTGCCACCTCCATCTAACCTACCATATGCTCACGCTGTCAAATTCATCGTAAGAGACAGTATTCTAAAGATTAACAGATTTTGGGGTGCCTGGGTGGCTCAGTCATTAAGCGTCTGCCTTCAGCTCAGGTCATGATCCCAGGGTCCTGGGATTGAGCCCCACATTGGGCTCCCTGCTCAGCGGGAGGCCTGCTTCTCCCTCTCCCACTCCCACTGCTTGTGTTACCTCTCTGTGTCTCTCTCTGCCAAATAAATAAATAAAATCTTAAAAAAAAAAAAGATTAACAAAATTTATGAAAAGCTGAGGCTCAACCTAAGCAGTTTTAGGAACATTCTAAACAAGAAACAGAAAATAGGGACACCTAGCTATCTCAGTCTGTAGAGCATGGGACTCTTGATCTTGGGGTTGTAAGTTTAAGCCCCACACTGGATGTAGAGATTACTTAAAAATAAAATCTTAAAAAAAAAAAAAAAAAACTTGTAAGTGGAAAATAGCTAGAAAGACAAAAAGAAGGGATATTCCAAAGGAGAAAAACAACAATGAAGCATTAAAAAGCCTTCTATATAATATATGAAAAGTATCCTAAAGTTTACAACATACCTTTTTTTTCCAAAAATTTTTAAGTTGTGGTAAAATACTCATAAAATTTACTCTTGTGATCATTTTTAAATGTACTCTGTGGTATTAAGTTAAAGCACACTTTCATACACATGATGTAAAGAGACTGGACTAACACTTAAAGAGATAGGGGTATTTTGAAAATAATTAAAACACAAATTTAGACATGTAGAATACAGTCAGAATCTGAGTACATTTAGTAACTGGCAGAAGACCATGTATGTAGTCACAAGCAGAAGTGCAACATGGTAAAGTGGTTATGTCAGGCAACAGAGGGGATAGCCCCTTATCAGAAATCAGGGCCAACTGTTGCAGTAACCCACCCTAAACACATAGACTATAAAAATTATGAGACATTACATACAGATGAATATGGTTCGAGTCCTAATCCTATTGTAAAATATTAGAATTTTACAGTAAGACTTTGGTCTCCATTATAGACCCATAAACCTACACCTCAAACTATGGGAAAATGTCAGTAACAATTTATTTTCAGCTTATAACAAATTTGAGATGCATGCTTTATGTTCAACTTAACTTGATGTTAGCCCTCTATCAAAAGCATACATAAGGCAGCAACACAGGAAAAAGGAAAACAATGAGTTAAAAACCTGTGCTGTCTTAAAGACCAATCTATAAAACACTTCCATAATCAAAAGTTGGTATTTAATCAAGTAGTTGTAAAAATACAGTTTTTATAATTATTCATCTGAGGTTTTCTTAGCTAGCCTTGATTAAAGTGGAAGATACTGTAAGCATTTTAGAAGATTTTTTCTTTTTAAAGTAAGCTCTGTGCCCAACATGCTGCTTGAACTCATGACCCCAAAATCAAGTCGCATGCTCTGCAGATTGAGCCAGCTAGGCTCCCCCATTTTAGTAGATTTGTAACTAAGGGAAATTTTTTAATTGAAACAACAATACCTTTGAGTCCATAAAAATTTTTGTTTGGCAGATCCTGAGCTACAATATGAACATTTGATGCCAGTTCTGCAGATCAATGTACAAGGGAAGGTCTTAACATATTAATGAAGGTATTCATCAAGAGAGAAAAAGGTCAGCAACTTAAATAAAGTAAAGCATCAAAGCTATGTCTATGCTGTGCATCAGAAAAGAAATGTTCCTGCAGTCCATATTTGACAGCCCACTGTGACTTAACTATAAATCTTATTATTAGCCAGATGGCCTTTGAACATGCAACTGCATCAACTACCCTTGTTCACATTCCCATGTTCATCAAACTCCCTTCCCACTTGTCAAGAGCATTCTAATGTTTAACAAGTTATGTTTAGTATGTTTAAATTTAATAAATTAGCATTCTGACTACCCTTCAGTCTTTCTATTTTGGTTAATGGAGGTCTGCCTCTAAGGAATGGATTTATTATCCTGTCAAAAGTCAGGTTTCTGAGCCTATAATTATGGCTGAGGGCCATGCTTGGAACTCTGTGTTTTCAACAAGACAATGCCACTCTATGACCCCCCTAGAGAAATACCCAGGCTCTATCAACAGAATCCTTTAACTGCATTAAACACGTTTGCTTAATTTTTAGCAAGGAATCGGCTACTCTAAATGAGAATGAGCGGAAGGAGGGGGAAGAGATAGACACAAGACAGAAAAGAACAGGAGGCAGAATGAGAAAAAAGAAAAGTAACAGTTAATCAACTAATTCAACATTGTTTCAACACCTGATTTCAAAATCAATAAAGGTTACGAATAAAGCTGCTTTAGGGGCACCTGGGTGGCTCAGTCATTAAGCGTCTGCCTTTGGCTCAGGTCATGATCTCAGGGTCCTGGGATCGAGCTCCTCATCAGGGAGCCTGCTTCTCCCTCTCCCACTCCCCCTGCTTGGGTTCCCTCTTTCGCTGTGTCTGTCGAATGAATAAATAAACATCTTTAAAATAAATAAATAAAGCTGCTTTACATTCTGTGCAGGTTTTTGTGTGACTATGTTTTCATTCCTCTTCGATAAAAAACAAGGGTTGGGGCGCCTGGGTGGCTCAGTCGTTAAGCGTCTGCCTTCGGCTCAGGTCATGATCCCAGGATCCTGGGATCAAGCCCCCATCAGGCTCCCTGCTCCATGGGAAGCCTGCTTCTTCCTCTCCCACTCCCCCTGCTTCTGTTCCTGCTCTGTCAAATAAAAAAAATCTTTAAAAACAAAAACAAGGGTTGGGATTGTAAGACTATATCGTGAATGTATGCTTTCACACCAGGAGTTCCGGTTATTCTGCCACCTTCATTAATACTTAGTA